TTGTGTTTACGACTATTTCTGTTTGCATGCGGACATTTGTGTATTTCTCAAAAACAGAACCCTTTTCCTTGTTACGGATGAAAATCAAGTTAGTTTATTATCAGGGGATGGCTCACCATGTTTGACTTATAGGACTGGATCTAAACGGGTTTGCTCTCCTGTTACTGTTTCACCAAAGGCAGGTGGTGGTCTTCAAACAGGATGTTTGTTCAGCTGAAACACCCCGTTACACCGCCGCGTGGTATCTGTGTTCATGTGCAGACTGATGTTTTACACTATTCAGTATTATACAGTAGTGTTACGTGCTATATTTTTTTCCATAAGAAATGTATCCTCTGCCTTTTTTTCTTTCTCTTTTTTTTTTAAGTTTGGCATGAATGACTGGACAGAGGCAGCAGGGCTGGGTGTTCGTGCTAGCACTGAATGCTAGGAGCTGTTTTTGAACCCAGAGAAATGTGACACAAATGCGAAGGTTTAAAGCTCACATTAGCAGAACCAATAGAAATGTATAAACGACGTCAGTATAAATGTTTCCATAATTAAGTTCAATTGTACTGGTTGACGACTTCTGCTTCCTCTGTGGTTTGTCACACTTCCCTTTTTTTATCTTGCATGTTAAGAGAGATCCAGAGTTAAGTCTGTCTAGTCTAACAGGACTGCTGATATACAATGCAAATGATTCTCTAATTTGAGTTGTCAATGGCATGATATTTTCCCAAAAGTTGAACGTTTTCGCCTTAAGGTCTTGATAATTATATGTTGAGCACTCTCTGATAATCACTGATGATGATCACTGATTCACTGATCTTAAACCTCTAAATCAGGGTGAAGTTTGGTCTGTTCGACTTACCCTTTTAGCTCACTGCAGCCTTGTCTGTCAATGTCTGACCAGAGATGACTCATCTGTTAACGTCTGTACATGTGGACATCTATTAAATATGCGAACAGCTACGTGTGTTTGCTGAGTGATCTGGTAGCAATGTCACATTCGCTTCCACATATTGACTCACTTCCCGAAAGCACCCTGGTTGTGTCAGGGTTTCACTGCAGTATCTGGCACACACCTCCATCATGTGCCCACTTTTCACCCTCTCAGCATCAGCACCAACGTCATGTCTGTCATATCAACCATCCTCATGTCTTTTGCTGAAGTCTTTAAATCATTACAGCAGCATGAAAAGATCTCAGGCCCCGTCTCATCTTGTCCTCTTGGTTAATCCAATCTGAAAATAGAGTTGCCCCCTTCAATACTATCTGCATTTATTTACTTGGTGGGTCTAAGTGGCTATGTTTTGCTGGAATCGATATGTGTTTCCTGTAGTGCTTTATCTGACACTAAAAACACTGAGGATGGTGTTGGTGAGCAAGGATACTGCTCGCATTATTTCAGTTTATAATGTGAGAACTGATATTGTCCTGTTTTGTTATTTGCTGACTTACCTCATGCTGTTTTTTGATTGTTTATAAGAAGGCATTGTAGCCAGTATAGATTATAACTCACTGTTTTCATGAATCAAATTATTTTCAGAAAGCTGATATGTTCTGCAAAATGTTTAAACATCATGTAGTGGAAAAAGATCATCAACCGCTGGGTTTGACTAAAGGTGGACTGCAGTCTCATGTTAAAATGAATGGAGGATCAGAGAAGACAAAGGCTCCTGTGAATAGTGTAGCCGAGCAGAACCACAGCATAGGTTTAAGCAGATAAAACACCCTGTGCCCCTACTTATAAAGCTGTCCATAATATTTGCCTTCTCAGCCCAAAGGTCTGCAAAAATGATGAGATTGCTGAAAAGATACAATAAAAATGAGCCCTGAGGTACCGGTAAATGTTCCTCTTTCTTCAGAAACCACACCCTGTGACAAATAGATGATCTGAGTCTTGTCATGGTGAATGTCGATTGTCCATTAAAGCATAGGCTGACTTACTCACACACTTTCAGAGTGGGTGCAATCCAGACTATGGTCTAATGCACTGTGTTAAACTGTGTTTTTAAAGCTGAACGTTCCCTTATTTGCCGTTTGTTTGTATCAGCATGGTTCCATTTTGGTCTCTTTATCCCTGGGTTTCAATTACTTGTTTGTACACCTCTCGGCGTTTAAGGGAAAGACTAGAAAAAGTTATTTGCTCTGCATGTCTTGTGCCAATTTTTTTTTTTGTATTTTATATCATCAGACTGCACCTACATTGAAACAATTATAGACCAAACGAGTGAGCAGCCCCCCTTGTGTCTCCATGATTATCTTAAAGCTTCTGGTGGGAGCGGAAATATCATTCACGGTTCAGGAGGGTTCAGTCATCTTTAATTATGTTGGATTTCCTGGTTTTTGGTGTTGTTGCCGTTATTGTAAGTAGTGAAAAGTAAGGTGTGAAGCACAACCATGAGAAAGCATCTCGCTGTACTACTCGATGAAAAAATACATTTTTCCTGAGTTTAATATTTGTAAACTAAAAGGAACAAAAAATTGCAAGATGCGTTCCATGCTTGTTAGTAAAACCTAACACCACTGACGGGAATACTCTGTGATTTTTCTTACTCCCGATGGCAAGAATGCAGATGCACTTAGCTGGGTGTGTTTGCCATTGTAAATGCTGGGTTGAGCCATTCGTTTGAATCACTTGTCAGGCAGAAAGGGCAAATTTCAACATGCCCTCAGAACAGGAATGTAGCTGCCGGCTACCCCCCCCCCCCCCTTTCCTTTTCGACAGGCTGTTTATGAGGAGGTGATGAGCAGAGAAGGAGATAGGGGAGAAAACACATTGTTTCAGTTGTAGCAGGATGGAATATGAGGTGGGCTGTCATGGCCATGTCAGCTTTTGGTTATGCTTCAGGGGTAGGTCATTTCATTGTTGGTTATGGAGGCTCATTTCAAACAAAGCTGAGGACGAGACCAGTAACAACAGAGAACAACCACAAAGAATAGCCTGTATGGTCATACAGACCTGTAAAGCTGCCCAATAAATGTCTCAATGATTAACCAACAATTCAGTTATGTGCCAATTCTGTTGGTTGCTATAGGCTCACAGGAAAGCAACTGTTGCTCGACTGTATTCAAATGTTCTATCAGAGAGTTACATGCTCAGAATGTCTGTGAGGGTGGATTAACACTTCTTTTTGACTGCTTTGCGGTTTGGAGAATTCTCACAGCCGAGATTAACCAAACCCTCCCGGGGCATGTGTGATTAGTGCTGGACTCTTAGTCTTCTGAATTTCTCTCTAGTGAGAGCAAAGTTCACTTCGACAGCCTCTGTGTTTTTTTTTTCCTCTTAAGTCTCTCTAAATGCCTTGGATAATATATTTCACGCAGCATGGTGGGGTTTCGCTAACCTTGATATGCATTGTTTGGAATCACTGTGTGCTTGGGTGACTTGTAAAGCCTTTAAAAAACTATAAGGAGAAAAACAAGTCATGCTCGCAACAAGAAACATCTGTTTCTCGTAGGTGAACGTCTTCTGTAGGATGCAACGCTCACAAAAGCTCTCTCTCACATATGCACCCACACAACAGGGTGTATTCTAGAGAATGGGCCCCCACACGCTCATTTTGGGACACATTTCTGTCAGTTCTGTTCACTGCTGCGAACCTCTTAGGAATCTTAGTTCCTGTCTACATTACTGAATGATTACCTGAACCCAGGCCTCTTCCTCCCTCTCTGCTGGAAACTGCTGGCCCTCAGAGGCCATTTTGGCTCTTCCTGGTTTCCATCACTCTGACAAGAATATTGATTTGTTACTGACAATGTCCATGTGACAGGGGCAAGTAGGAATACGTTTCTATTCAAATGACAATGTTGACCATTTAAATTGAATTCCACATGAGAATATAATGATATAATAGGTATATAACATAATGTACTGATAAGATTAGAAAATGTGTTTCATCGTCTGATCTGAGATGAAACATTCAGTTAACTTCACTTGGTAATTGAGTAATTTAATGTAAAACTTGAACACTTTATTAATGTATATGCAGTGAATCAACTTGAGATTCTTTAGGTTTAGATGACAAATCAAAGAGCAAGTATTGTTTAGCTGCTTGTGATGTGTGCTGATCTGTGTTTTGTCAGAGTAGCCTGTCCTCAAGATTAAATTATGTAAGTGTGGCTACTTAAGGACGTTTAAAGTTTAAATTAAGGCTGTCAGCGTCTTCACACTATCTTTGTTTATCACAATCTATCAGAATGTCTAAGGCAAGTGTCTCACATTCCACTTTTAAAGTGTCACCGCAGTGGTGAGCCTGCATTTGCATTTAACCGGCCGCCGCTTCTCCTTTTTTAATGTCATTTATACAGAATTGTCTCTGCTGTTTAGCAGACAAATTAGTGAGATAAAGCTACGTTTTTAGTGTTTCCACGTCTGGATGCAGTGCAGAGAGGTCCTATGTCAATCACACGTGCGCTGTAAACAAGGCTGTCCACACCTTCCGCCTACAAAGTGGAGCTAATAAATCTTATGCTTACGGTAAATAATGTGTTACCTCGCAGAGCCTTGGAGAGGAGTAATCACTCTCGGGTTCACTGGTGAGTTAAAAGGTGCAGATGTAAAGAGTGTGTGTTTGTGTGTGTGTTTGTGTGTGTGGACAAAAAGATCAGCTCTATCCCCACCAGGTTGTCGGTGTGTCTTTGTGTGTAGGCGGTGCCCGGACTAGTCATGGGTCATGCTCTGAGTGCTTCACTCTCTTTTTTTTCTGATCCAAAGGTCACTTTAACAGCCCGCGCTTTCAGAGAAAATTTAAAAGTGACTGCACATTCAGTGTCTCAGCTGGGATTCATATACTTTATTAGAGCAATTAAATACATCTTTGAAAAAACACTAGGTATGTTAAATGTCCTACAACATGAAGCATGATTTCTGTGTCTAGACTGGAGGAGATATCTGTTAATATTTGTACGGCTGCTACTGTCTCTGCTTTGTGTTGTCTGACAACATAACAAAGTTCTGATTTTATCTAAAGTGTTGTTTTTCTTCTCTCCCTCTGTGTGTGTTCGTGTGTGTGCAGGCTTCTTGTTGGAGCACCTAAAGAGAAAGCTAATTCTCTGAAAAATGTCAACGAAACAGGTGCCGTTTATTCCTGTCCTATCAACACAGACTCCACAGACTGCTCCAGGATGGATCTGGTCAGCAAAAGTAAGCCAGGCGTGAAGCTTTTTTCATGTGATCACAAGCAGGGGTGTTCGGCAGCAGGGTGGAATTAATATTTTAAGTATTTACGTATGGAGTTATTGCATGCACCAGGACTATTGCAAGACTAAACAAATTGTGTCCTTTGAAAAAAGTATTTAGAAACATGTTGCATGATTAGCTTGAAACTGGAGTTGATGTAAGCAAATGTATCACAAGACCTTTGATGGGCTTTAATATGTTTTTTGTGGCATCTGATTTGTATTTAGTCTTCTGTGGATCTGGTACTATTGCTAAATAAGTCATCAAGTAGCTGCTGAGGTTTTGCAGTCCTGACTATGGTGCGCAGTTCCCTCACAAAACCGGCAGTTTAAGATGTTGTGTCTAAATAACATGCCAGAGATGAATATACTGATATTAGTCCTTCCAAAGGATTATAAAAAAAAGGTGTCTTAAACTTAAGTCAAATTAGTTAACCCCTGAGGTCCTAAATCAGGCACTTTCATCCGATAATATTTGTCGTTCTTAAGTTGTTCAGAGCTTATGTTTTTGTCCCTTTATACAAAATAGTTATGCGGATATGAAATGAAAATATGCATTCTGACTGCTTTTAGCCAGGGAAGCCATGCTATAAACAGAACACTTTTCATTAACTTTTCATAACTTAATTTACAGCTAGTGACTCAGAGATTGTGGAGGGCATGTGGCTGGGCGTGACGGTGGCCAGTCAGAGGGACCAGGGGGCAGGACGCGTTCTGGTGAGAAGACAACCTGTTTCACTCCATGAATCTGTGCTGTTGACAGGTGACACGCTGAACTAGTCAGGCTTCAACGGCTAGCATTAATGGGGTGCTGCGAGAGTATATCCTGTCAATGTCTTGGACGAGAACAATGTTTGATGATATAGCTGCCCTCCGGGGACATTGATTGGATCGTGTTTTTCAGTTTCGTAAAGCATTCCATCCTATTGTATTACACTTTAAAACTTGTGTGCATGCATTATGTAAAGTGCGCAGCAGATATGAGGCCCAGGTAACCACGTAGTCTCCCTCTCCTCCCATTCCCAGGCATGTGGGCATCGCTACGTGAAGATCGACAAGGGCCAGCGGCGGATGATAGGAAGGTGTTACGTAAGGGGCAACGATCTGAGCTATGACCCCAATGATACCTGGCAGGCCGACGCTTACGAGAAATGCAATCCCGCCAACGACTTCACTGTTGACGGAATGTGCAACATGGGCATCTCAGGGGGCATGACGGACACCGATGTCTACATGGGAACTCCAGGCAGCTTCTCGTGGCAAGGTGAGAGCCAGGCCAGAAAAGCGGACAGAACAAAATCAAAAGCTGAAAAAGACTAGACTGGAACTTTGGAGACGGACCACATTTGACTGTAATAGCATTTTGTAGCAGTATTTCTGTAGCAGAGAACAATAAAATATTTTTTTTTTAAAGCTGCTGCAAATTAGCATAACAGAGCACTCAGGTCACTTTATTTAACTTCCTTTCACACCCACTCAGCAGTGTGGCCAACAGATTCAGTGGATCTTGCAAGTTGATTACAAATGTAGCTTCTTTTTAGAGAAGAGAGAGGCCAGTATTGTTGTGTGGGAACCGGATTTAGCTTTCTGCTGTGTATAAATTACACAGTCTAGTAAGAGAGACATAGCCAGCAGGCATGTTTTTGCTCGTACAGCAGCAGTGCCAGCATGCACAGAGACAGAGTAGAGAAGCTGCCTCTCCGTGGTAGCTTAAGGGACTTTGTAAACTTTCCCTGTGATTGATCATCATACACCTTTTTACATAGAACATCTAGACTTTGTCAGAGCACTTGCCTCCGGCTGACCGCTTAATCCTAATGGGCTTCTTTTCAGTCATAATTTAGGACTTGTTTCACCATCCCACAAGAAAAATGTAAAGCTAGTTATGTGGGAGTTGTTTTTTGAAAAAGTTATTTCATTGGGAATTCCTGTTTATCAAGATAGACAAAATGTGAAAACAAACTATTTCGAGTTGCCTAATCAGACTAAAAAGTAGGTATGTTTGCAATAATTCTACTGGAAGAAAATTTACTCATGACAGCAAATATTAAAACTTGCCCCTTAATTAGCCGACTTTACATTTGTGCCAGCTCTGTCTACATATTTACTTTTCCTCCGACGGCCTCTGCTCACATATGTCAAAAATTTTCACAGTTAAATTCCCTGAAAAGTTGCTCCCATATTCCAAATAGACCAAATATGTTGCTCGTTCTCAGTGCATTTTGGTACTGTTTTGACTGCCCTCATAAAGTCTGGTTTTATCATGTTAACTTAAGTCAAAATCCAAACAGGTTTAGGACAATGGATTTTGGTTGAGGAATTTTTCGGCTTTTCTCTTTGCTGACATTGTAGGATGGAAAGCTGTTCAGGAGTTACATCCTCTATCTTTTGCTTAAAAAACTACTGCAATTAGGATTTTGGGGGTCTAACCATAAGCAGATGCACAAGGCACTCGTGTAAGTGCTCACATTTAAAGCACGGGTCATTTACTCAGGCTCCCCTGTGATGTCCACAGCAATCAGGCATTAGGGGAAGAACCAAGCATTAGTCTCGCTTTGTGAAAATTCCCTGTCCACTGTGTATCAACCTTCTATTTACACTGACCTCTTCTGCTTTGCATTAAAGGAAATGTTAAAGTCATCTGGAGAAATCCTGATCCGGCGGAATTCTGGGACCTTGACGAAAGACAGTTTGAACAGCTGAACAATCGAAACATCTACATGGGTGACTATATTTTTAAGTTTTACAGGGTGAGGTCAGGTTTTTTAGCTGTTCGATACATTTGATCAGTAGATGTTATAACAACATATACATGGAGGTTTCATTTCTGTTTATGATACTTACAATTTCTAAAGTAAGGTCATGCAAAAGAAGAAAAAAAAAACTTAAATACTTTTTTTTCCCCCACAGGTTATTCAGTGCTGGAGGAGCAGAAGCTGCTGAGTTCTGATGAGTACACAGTTGTGACGGGGGCCCCTAGGGACCAATCCAAGGGTTCTGTGATGCTAGGGAAACTGAATCAGAAGATAATCGATCGTGTGCAAGTTATTCCGGGAGAGCAAGTGGGCTCACACTTTGGCAATACACTGGCAGCCACTGACCTCAACAACGACGAGTGTGTATCATTTTCTTCAAATTCTGCAACTGTTAGAAGATGAAAATGGAAGATTTTTAGATGTCAATGAACACAGAATTTCTATATTTCAAATCTCTCTTTTTCCCAGTTGGAATGACCTGATTGTGGGCGCTCCATTTTACTTCGACCGGTTGAAGGACCAGGGAGGAGCAGTGTACATTTTCATGAATGAGAACGGATCTTTCCAGAATACTGCCTCTGTGGTGCTGAAGGGTCCATATGAATCTGGTTTCGGCATTGCAGTTGCTGCCATCGGGGATGTCAACCAAGATGGATTCCAAGGTGTGACTCTGAACGCAGCATTTGTGTTTGCGCTTAGGCGTGAAGTACAATGTTCACAAGACTGTGCCACTTTTAATCCTTTAATACTTCCCGCATTTTATTATCAGTAGCTTGGCCTTCTGTAAAATCCTTTGCTTATCTGCAGATATCGCCATTGGGGCACCATTCCACGGAACAGGAAAAGTCTATATATGGATGGGAAGCAAAAAGGGAATATCTGAAAAGTACAGTCAGGTAACACTACATTTGGATTTAGTTGTAAACAGCTTGTCCTACAACAAGCTGGACCCCTGACGTACAGCTAACTTCTGCCCCCTGCAGGTGATAGAGGGTAAGTCTGTCGGCAGTGGCAACTTTCAAAGGTTCGGCTACTCCATCAACGGAGGGGTGGACACAGATGGCAACAGCTACCCGGACATTTTAGTTGGATCTCTTGATGACCGCATAGCCCTGCTCAGGTAGAAAATACATTCAGTTAATTGTGTGTCTTTATTATAAAAAAGAGCTGTAAAAAAAAGTTACATTTGAGTTAAATAATCAACTGAGATATTATTTGCTTGTGTCTGAGTTTAAATTTGGAAAACGTACACATTTTTGAATGTTTTTCAGAGCTCGGCCGGTCATCCATATAACCAAAAACTTAACTGCTGAGCCCAGCATTGTGGATCCTAACGAGTGTGATGGAAATAAACCCTGGTAAGATGTCTGATAAAAGGTCTCATTTTTACAGCGGCTGTTTCAGTTTGAATTTTAATTTGAATATTTTGTTTCTCTTCTTACTTCACAGCATTACAGTTACTGTGTGCATGTCTTTTACTCTAAGCAATGGCAACAAGGACTTCAAGAAAAATATTGGTGAGCTCTTTGTTTTTTTTAAGCTCTGAAATTTAAAAATGTTAAGGTTTTAACCGAAGTAGTTTCTTATATTGCTAAAATATGGCTTCTGGATTTACCGAAATGGTGAGTTGCTCTGTAATGCTTTCTGCTGGTTTCTATTTCGTGAAGTAATGGATTACACAGTGGAAGCCGACATGGAGAGACGAAGAAGCCCTCGTGTTCGTTTCGAGGATAACACTGATTCCTATTCTGGATCCTTGAGCCTGCCGGCTTCCAAATCTGTCTGTTCTCAACTCAAATTGAATGTTGTGGTAAGGTCTCAGTCCAAACACTGAATGTGTTTTTTTCTTTCTTTTTCTCCCACCACTGTGGACATTCATTTTATTTTACAAGGTGCTGTTATTATTTAGTCAAGTTGTAATTGAAGAAATTGACTCTTTGTATGGATTGACAGAAACCTTTGAGGGATAAACTGGAGCCGGTGGTCTTTTCCCTCAACATGTCAATACATCAACAAAAGCCCAAAGCCAGACGCTCCCCCCAGAACTTGGACTTCTTCCCAATTCTGAGCCAGGAGCAGAAACTCACCCAAAGAACTGAGGTGAAGAGTGCTAGCTAACTTGGAGTTAGTGTTAATTTTCTATCAAGAAGAAGACGGTCTTCTGAAGTGTGACATGATGCCATTTGTTTCATTCGTACTGCAGATTAACTTTCAGAAGGAGTGTGGCCAGGACAACAAATGCACCAGCAACCTGCAGCTGACCGCCCAGTTCGCTGATCAAAAAGACAATCCTTACCCCAGGTCTGAGCCGTAACCCCATCAACTAATGCATGTTTTAAAGTCTGAGATGTGAAACTGATTTTTACACTCATGTAACATTTTTGTTGCCATTTTTGTAAATTGCTTAACTTTATCATCCAGTTCCTCTTAATAATGCAAAATCTGGGCCACAGGGTGGTGTTGGTGCCCCATGGGTGGTTTTATGCAGGCCCAAAACCCTTCCCTTCTCCCTGTTTCTCAAATGAACCAAGAGTGGCCATTTTCCATGCTTCACAAATGAAGACACAAACTAACACACTATCCTTTCTTAGGCAGGGCAGTTTGCAGGTTCTCCCCTTCAACAGCTATTTGAAGACAATAAAGCTTCTAGTGGAAGTGACCAACTTTCCTTCTCCAGCGATACGTGCTGAGGACGCCCACCAGGCCATCCTCAACATCACCATCCCCAAAGCGCTCAAGTACTCTGGTTACAGATCTCAGGTATGTCCACTGGAGGGCAGTAGATGATAAAAATATACACGCTTAATTCTCCAGCATTCTGTAAGAGAATTGTTTTCATGTTTTTTTATAATTCATTACTAAAACATACACGATGTGACTTTTTCCCCTTTTATTCCGTTTATTTTAATCATAATCTGTAAAACAGCTCTTTTGAAATCCCCCAAAGAAAAGAACACACTACCCTGTTTGGTCATACTTACCATACATTATGTATCAGACATGTCAAATAAGACCAACTGCTTCTTTATTTGAATTTGTTGTTTTAATATCCTGTTTGTGTCTTTAGAACACGGATGTAGAATGCACCCTTTCTGACACAGTCATTTGTGAGCTGGGAAATCCAGTCAGAGCCAACACAAAAGTAAGCGTGTTTTACTGGGCAGATTTACAGTACAATTTGCCATCTGTTTGTAGATTTCTCTGATGCACCTCTCACTTGTTTGCTGTCACTTTTAGGTGTCTTTGAAGATAAAATTTGAGACATCGGGCATCGACCTGTTCACAAAAGAGATCGAGTCTGAGCTGCTTCTGTCAACGTAAGGACTCACACTTACACTGCTGTCTGTTAGACTTTAACAACAGTTTAAGTGACACTACTTTCTTTGTGGTGTGTTCTTCCACTGTGACCAGTCACTCACTAAATATTCGCATACGATTTTGTAATGAGGTTGCTCTTTCTGCAGACTAAGTGAGCAGAAGGACCTCAGGCCTGTGGCGGTGGGCTTGCTGGTTGAAACCACCATCCTTCCATCGTTCTCCATGTGAGTGCCACTAAGGTTCATGATGTGTTGTGCATAGTTACCATTAACTATTAGCCTGTTTTCCACCTTGTTTCCACACCCAGCATAAAATGTTTTCATCTCTCTGATCTTGTTCAGTTCGCGGCAGCTGGTGCGAACAAAGTTTGGTGGGACGGTGATGGGCGAGTCTGCCATGGTCAACGGCAGCGATGTGGGCAGCCCGGTGGAGTTCACCTTCAACGTGAGTCACACGCGCCGCTTAAAGGCGACGTCAGACCTCCAGGTCTGTGTGTTTTAGCTGTGCTGGGCGAGCCGCTCGCTCACACCCTGCCTTTGAAGCCAAAAAAACTTCAGAAGTTTAATCCTGTGTGCTGGAGGGATCGTTAAGGGAGCCGTGGCCTGTGGTTGTGAGCATGACCAGGGCTGGGCGCTGATTACAGGTTACAGTGACTTTGCGACTACTATTTTAAACCATGCTTACTTCTTGTGTCTTGTTCTGCTGACCACTTTTGCCACCAGGTGGACATGAGAAGACAGCCACTGGGAGACCTGGGCAGCCTGGCGGTGGAGTTTGAGTGGCCCTCTGAGGTGGCCAACGGCAAGTGGCTGCTATACCTGACCAAGATCGTTGTGAAGGGGGACTCAGAAATGGAATGTAACCCTCCTGGAGAGATTGTCAACGCCCTTAATCTAAGTGTGAGCATCCTTTTAGGCTTACATATGTTAGAAAAAGCAATTGACAGACCTAAGTTTTTTATTTGCTGTTGAGGAAATTTCCAAACTGTTTTTTTAATGGAAAGTTAATGCATTGTTGCACTCAAAGAAATGACTACGTTCTCCCCATGCTAATTACACTGACATGCATGTAGAATGGAAAAAGCCAAGTAAAAGTAGCCCGCTCTATTTTTTTGCCCTGACCTGACATAGGACAAAATGTCACAGATTTATTTATCATTCAAACCCTTAATTATTCTAGCATTTGGTCCTTAGTTGTTGTTAACTTTAATTCTTGGATCCAAAATAGTTGTTAGCTTAATTAAAGGCTTTCTTTGAAAAGAGTTGCTGTAAACTGATTGATCTTCAGTATAGCAACATACTAAAATGCTCATAGACACCATGACATGTTCAGCAGGTATTTCTACAATTAACCTCTCTATTTAGAATTAGTGCCTCTCCTTAAACATTAAATGGTATAGTACATTATAAATTCAATTCTTTTTATATGGACAAAAGGCTAAATTTACTTTAACCTCACAGACTTGAGTCTGTGAATTGACAATGCATGTGGTGTAACTCCTACTGACATCAGTTTAAAATCAAGCTGTCTGAGCAGTATGAATAACTATTAGTTGGTAAGCAGTGTCAAAATGGCCTCAGAGCCAAACCACTGTTCAAAAATACATTCAAAAAACAAAAACTGTGTCGCCACAGACAAACCTCACAAAGCCCCAAATAGAAACTCACAATGTGTGCGGCCCACATATAGACGGTGGAAATGACACTGCTATTCTGAGAAGGGTTTGGTAATGTCTTTATCAGAACCAGTAATTACCACCAGTTCTCTGATGTCATGTCTCTGTCTTCCTGCTTTCATTCCCCCCTTCATCCTCTCTCATCCTCCAGCTGTCAGAGAGCAGCTTCAAGCGTGTAAAACGGCAGGCTTTAGAGGAGGAACCTGAAGAAACGAGTCACATAATCGAGCCACAGGCAGCCATCACTATCCTCACACCTCGCAAAGAGTCCTACCTCTTGGTAAGCAGTCAAAGATTCGAGCAGAATTTCCATGTTTACTACATTCTGTTCAACAGACACAACAATGAAAGACACAGAGCCACTTGTTGATTTACATAATCCTCAATAATTTTTTTAACATCCATGTCATAAATTTGATTTGAAGTTGAGCAAGCAGAGGGTTTTCCTATCTTAATAACTTTAGCTTTGAATTCTTCAGCATAAAAAATGTGCAAAATGTTTCTGATCAATGTTAATAAAATGTAAAAGGTCAAGTTGGGCTTTTTTTAGATGTTCACTTGTCAACATTACATACAGGAAAATTATTCCCATTATGAAAATGATTAAAAACATTGCTGCTTAATAGTTCTCTATGCCTCACACAAATCCGACACCCCTCCCTTTTTTAGTGCCTTTAGGATTTTTACTTGGAAGTATAAGTCAGTAGTAGAACGCATATGTCTGTTTCATGCAACACCTCTTGAATCAGGACAAAATAGAGGTGACAAAAGAGCATCAAAACAAAAAGGTGACATTGTGGTCTCAACATCTTTTGTATCTTTTTCAAGTTATTTTAACATTGAAGCATATAAAGGACTCCTGTACCTGTAAATATGAGCTTATATTTATTTAGTAAATTTGGATCAAAAACACTGATGCAAAACAGAGGCCTTACTCTGAGGAACAGTAAAAAATCTGCATTTTGTTTGTTGTCGTCTCTTTTCTCATCGTGTAGGAATGCTCCAAGGGGACAGCTAGATGTGTCACGTTTACCTGTCCTCTGCTCAACCTGTCCAATTCGGCGGAGATCCATGTGCAGTCCCGCCTGTGGAACAGTACGATGCTTGAGGTTAGTCCAACAGCTACATGCACGCAAACATCACATACCCACGTACTTACCAATCTCCTGCAAATGCTTTTAGAATACGTCGCCACAGAGTGCAACTCACTGCAGAAGCCTTGCAGGATGTTTTTCAAGAGCCTTTTGTGTGGTCCTTTACTTCCTTAGAAAAACATTTGTGTGTTGTGTGTGCTTCCTTTGTACAGGACTATTCCAACGCGCTGAGGGTTACGGTTAAAGGTCAAGCAACGCTAAAGCTCATTACAGATAAATCATCCATAAAGATGGAGAGTCAAACCACAACGGTACGGGATGATGATGGTGATTTTTACAGTAATGCTCCTGGTTAAGGCAACAGTGAGGACTTACCATGACTTGCTTCACCTTATTCATAGTTCACAGTGGAAATAGACCCAGAAGCAGGGGTGGAGACACCTTACGAGCTGCCCCTGTGGATCATCATTTCAGCGGCGGTGGCGGGAATTCTGCTACTTGGAATTATTATTGTTATACTCTGGAAGGTGAGACTACACCATTGTAAAAAGACTCGATTTGAACATCCCTGAATCTTTCCAAATGTTCTCATAACAATGATCTTCTCTGGATCATGTGGAAACCTTTTATATAAACCTCCATATTGAGCCATTAGTCTAACTAACTCCCCCCTTCATGCACCCTCCTACTCCTCCTCCACCCCCAGTGTGGCTTCTTCCAGAGGGCCAGCAGGAGGGAGATGTATGAGGCCAAAGCCCAGAAGGCTGAGATGAAGATCCAGCCCTCTGAGACAGAGAGGCTGACTGAGGACTACTAAGACCCCGTGTGTCTCACAACAGCACATACCTTTGTGGCTTTTGGGTAAAAACAACCCCTCAAACGGATTTTTTTCATGGATACTAACACTGACAAGCTTCGGATGTGACTACCGCTTTACTTTCACTTCCCTCTGCTTCTTCTGAACTAACTTTTTCTTCTGGGTTCCTCTCTGGCCAGTACTATACAATTAGCCCCCTACCACTTTATGACCTCTATTTCAAATTCCTTACTCTCTTTACTACCCAACTCAGTGGGAGATTGCTGTTTTTTCTCTGATACCTTTCCACAGCCTGAAAGTCCTAAATCTTCTCAATAATCCCGTCTCTGGGTTTGTTGCTGCATGCCTCTAATGGGACTCTCCTCTGTCTGTATCCCCGCTAGCGCGGATTCTTCAAGCGAGCCGTCTACTACCGGATAATGCCGAAGCACCAGGGGGTGAGAATCCGCAGGGCCGAGCGCTATCAGTTCAATCTGGGATTTCAGCCCGAGGAGCCACAGAAGAAGTACTGGATCACCAGCTGGAGAGAGATGCAGCACTACTACTGAAACTTTTGCTTTTACCTTGAGACCACTCGCGACCACAGGGGCCGAGCAGAACACTTTTGGACTTTGCGGAGACATGGACCGGCTGTGGATGATGTGGTACCTTTCTTAAATTTTTGTAGACTTTCTCAAATTTTGTTTGTGCAATATCCTGAAAGAGATTGTATTTTTGATGGATGCAGTATTGTACATTGGAGGCTGGGTTGCATTCAAGAGTAAATTGTGAATTGTTTTATTAAGTTGTAGGTATTCGTGGACTAAATATTGTGTCTGCATTCATTTTTCAACTCTCTCCATTTTGGGAATTGCTTTTCATTGCCTTTCCTGCCCAATGTCTTCCAAAGTTGGCATGTTTTTTCTTTCTCTATGTGATTTCACATTATTTCTGTGGTGATTATTGGTTTCCTGGTTAGAGTATGTTGACTCTGTTACCAGAGAAGAAGCATCTTTATTGGAATGTGCTTGTCAGTGTTGGATAGGCATTGCACAGAACCAGTAATCCAAACAAAGGGATATTTCAGTCTTGGCAGGCTCCATGATAAGATTTATGACCATTTAAAAAGCCACATCAGATGTGTGACAAGTTGGAAACCATCACGTTTTTGGTTGAATCTATCAAATCTATTGAATCTTTGTTGTTATTTATTTCATCTTTAAACCCCGTGTAGATATTTGAATCTCTTACAGGAAGTCAAAACACTGGATCACTCAACAGCCACAGGAGTTGTACATAGTAACAATACAAATTGATTATTTGAATGAATACATTCATGACTGGTCTTTGTTCAATTTATCAATCAAGATGGTGGGCTGACACATTGCATCCAAGACATTGCAGCTCCACTGAGGTAAACCTGCTGGACATAGGAAAAACTGGACTGACAGAAGCTACTTCTGCAATCATGGAGCAGTGCCAGTGCTGATCTGCTCCATGATTGCACCAGCAGAGGCTGCAAAAACTGAACAGATAGCTGAAAAACACATTGCAATGTGAGCAAGAGTCATCTGAAAATGAATGAGCAAAATGGTCACTCGAGTGAGTGATTGTGAAATTCTCAAGAACAAGAGTCATGTTAACATCACATGTTCCTTTATTTGTGTGTTAGCTGAAAAATCTCCTGTGTGTTTTTTTTGCAGTTGTGAGTTATCCTGCCATGATAATCCTTCCATGAGTCGAGGCTGAGAAATGCGTCAAACCTCTCTATTTTGTGGGAAAACTCCAGCTTTTGATGTTTTTTCACTGTAGTAACCACAAGGCTGAGCAATTTGGTGTGTTATTTATGTTTCTGACACCAGGATTGAGAAAATTAGACCGTGTTAATCAGTTTTTTCAACTTTTGGGACTCGGGCCTTGTTTGGTCTGCTGCAGTTGGAAATTGTTTCTGTCATTTAGAGGCTTCTATTTTAAAAAGTAAAGCTCAGATGGCTGTGAACGTCACACTGTGAGTAAGCTGACCAGATTTCCTTCCGTTTTTGTGGAAAAAGTATTTCTGAAACATTTATAAAGAGTTGAATGTATTGGGACATCTGCCGGCTTGTGACATCTGAATAGTGTCTCCTGCTTAAAGTATTCAGGACAAGTAAGGTTTCGCAGGGCTGAAAGCTTTTGGAGGATTTGAAGGTTGTATATGGTATTGTATCGTTACCATGGTCTCTGTCACTTGATGAACCCACAGGAATAACCCACAGTAGAACAAAAGCCCCACCAACTTCTTCAGAATACCCAAATTCTTGTTTTCGGTGGTGGTGTTTATTTTGTGCTGTGCATTTTCAGAGTAAACCATTTACAGATGCCACACAGTTTCTTCATTTCAGGGTCTGAAAGACAGGTCAGAGGTTAATGGTTTTACTGTAGAAATGCTGAGAATTCAACAGGAAACTAAATCAGAACCTTTTTACAATTTTACACGACTATACAAACATTCACTTTGAAACATTTTCTAGCGTAATATTCAAATAAATTACAAAATTGTCATTTTCTTTTGCATAGGCAAAAAGAATAACAGAAAATGTACAACACTTGACAGTGTATAAAAGGAAAAAAAGAGGGTCACTGTATATTGAATAAGCTTCCATTTCAGATTTTTCTCATTTTGTTCTTTTACAAAATAAACCTTAGGGTATTTATGGAATTTCAGCATCGATGATGGTGAAATATGACAGAGATTGACCACCACAACGCACCTGTGGGTAAGTAAAAATATATTTAAAAGATGTTAGTCATTAACCCAACACAAATAGTAGAGTAATTTTTTTAATGAATTAACATTCAAATAAATATTTGGTTCTAAAAAAATACTGATCACTGAACACATTTCCTTAAAATCTTTCAGTTTGATAAATCAGTGAAATAGCATTGAAAATGTTATTGTCATGGCTTAAATGATGCACTCATGAAAGGAATTTTCACCATGAACACATTCAAAATGACAGTTTGTTTCAACATTTAAATTTGGGAGTTCTAAATGTTAGAGAAAGAGTAAGTTTTCAAAGAAATTGACACAAGAAAAAGTTTAGTTGTTGGGTGACATTACATATTACATACATTACATTAAAATCAGGTACTATCTCAACACTTCAACAGGTTTTTGTACTCATAAAGCTCTGAAATGTTACATTAGAAAAAGGAACATATGGTACAGTTATATCAAATTAAACCTGCACCAATTTACATAAAGTGACAAAGTGTATTGTCTAAAGCACAACAAGGATTTTTCCATCAAAGATTCACTTCTCAGTAGTAAAAAAAAAAGTTAAAATTTTTTAAATCTGAGGTGGTGACAATAAACATGATAAAAACAACTGAATTTTTGTTTTTAAAACCCCAGAGTAAATGGAAAAAACTGTTCACATTGAGGCTGGTTAAGGGCTACAGACAGTTAGTTAGGCCATACGTCAACATTTAGCTATCAGTCATAACTACTAGTCTTTTTGCTTGAGCTCCATCGTTGATAAGGACTTCTCAGGCTTTTTTGACTTTCTGTACTTGTAGGCAAGAAGAATAGTGGCCACCAAGAGGATCAGTCCAATGACCAACAAGACCCACTGGCCAGCTGTGGCGGCTGCACTGTTCACATCCATTCCCAAGAAATCAACGTTACCATCATCTGAAAAACACACACAACAACAAAGACTTGACTTAAAGCCATGTGGAAAACTGCCATTTTAAACTGCAGATTATTAGATCATGAAAATGTGGATTTTCCACAAGGGGGAGCTTTTTAAAAATTGTATAAGAGTGTGACTATTAGCCCCAGTGGTCTGTTAGAACATCAGAAAAGTAGCATAAAAAGTAAAGACAAATTCCAGGAATCTTGTATGACTGTGTTTAATTTGACCGATACACACACACACACACACACATACAAACGCGCACACACACACACACAGAACAGACACAACCACTGCTGATATTATTACTCACAAAAAAAGGATTTAAAAAAACATCTGAATGACACAAAATCAGTAATTCAACCTATACTCTGGGTTTTCCTCTTGATCTCCACCAGCAGTTGTGTTCCCACTTTTCTACTTTGTCTCCTAAGCTCCCCTGTGCCCTCGGCTGCATATATTTCATCAATCTAATCTACATACATCCTTTCAGCAGCATCTCATCAGTAAAACAAGAAGAGAGGTTGATTGATTTCACAGTAAGCTGCAGCAGAGGAGAAAAACAAGCTGAATACCTCTGCGTGCAGACATTGTGCCCTTTCCGTCTGGGAATGAGTTCAACAGTATTTGGCTTTGACAATGGAAAACTTATTTTGTGCATAGAAATGCATGGGTCTGTGCTTATGTACGAGAGTGTGAATCTATGAAGGTGTTGCACATACTTAAAGGTTCTAAAGGGTTCCAGTCGTACTCAGGCCATCCACGAATATCGTTGTTCTTGTTGTTTTCTGCCTCAAGCCACTCAATGAGAGGTTGGAAATACTGCATGAGGGGCTGGGCACTCATTTTGGACTGGCCTGTGATCATGGCCATAGCTTCGGGCCAAGGCTTACTGAATCCAAGTTTCATCACATCACTGTAAAAAAAAAAAAAATAAATAAACTAATGCAAGTCCTGGCCAAGTTCAAAGTATACAGAAATCAGTAGTTTGAGTGAATACAGTAGTCAAGTAATTAGCATACTAACCCCAGCAGCTTCCCAGCTTCTTGGGATTTGTAGATATCACAGGTGTGCAGAGGTCCGACATGGTTTGCAGCTTCACACAAAGCCTTATGAAACTGAAACTGAATGATGAAGCTGACAAAGTACCTGAAAAATCCCAAATCATACTGTGAGGATTGAGCTTCGTGAACAGAAGAAGTACACTAAGAAAAAAAAGCACGGCTTCATGGTGAATAAAAATAAGATAACAACTCTCAATGATCCCCAGCATATTCATCTTATCTATACATGGAAAGCGATCATCTTATCTGTGCCCAGTAAAAGAAGTGCAAAATCATGGAATATTACCGGACATAAGGTACGTTGGCAGGGATGTGGAACTTTGCACCTGGATCAAAGTCATCCTCAGTGCGGGTTACAGGTGGACACAGGCCCTGGTACTTCATTCTAGAAAACAACATCCTCTAGTTGAGCAAATCATTTACAACAATCATTGCAACCATCGTATATTGCGATTATAAAATTCTAGGTGAACTTTACCTGAGGTTCCACCACTCTTTATTGTACTCAGTCGGTGGTATGCGTCCATCAAATACCTTCCACCTCCACTGGTCCATCAAGTAGCCGAAAGGTAGGAAGGCGATCTTGTCGAGTGCCATACTCATCAGAAAGTTGATGTCGCTCTCTGCATAGGAGACAAACGGGATGAATAAGCGGCCCCTGAAAACTTTGTCCTACCACCAGGTTTTTACCACTCACCATGGTTACTCTCAACTTTGTCCAGGAGGCCGATGCTTTGCAGATGTTTGGGCGTGGACACCGAGAGGGCGAGTACATCGCCAATGGCCTCGTGGAAGCCGGGGTTGGCTCCGTCGCGGAAGGACACGGGCTGGTCTTTGTACTGGAGGAAGTACTGGACGTGGCCCATCTCATGGTGCACGGTGACCAGGTCATCCATGGTCACAACGGTGCACTGTTTAATCCTGCAGGCAGAAATTAAGCGCTGACTACAGTAAGGTTGTTGTTTTTTTTGCAGCCATGGTTTCAGACAAAGAACTCATGACTGCACCTTACATGTCATTCAGCAAAGTTTGGAGAGCTATAGCCCCAATGGTCTGTCATTTCTAGTTACATGCAAAGCCCTCAGCCTTGTCAGACGTAGACGCACACAAACCAAAGGTAGGGTTCATGTAAAACAGCAGTGTAGCCGCCACGCTTGTTTCTTTCCCCAAGAATTTTGAATCAGCAAAGGTCAACTGTTAATATCCAACAGCTCTTAAGAGCTCTGATTCTAATCACGACGAATCATTTCTCAAAAAGATGCATAATAGGAGATCTGGAGATATGTTATTAAGGAGGTACTGCATTACTTGGTAATTACTCTTTCCTGCAGCAGTCAGCAGGCTCCCAATGTGGTGAATCAAGGACGAGTTCTTAGAGAGGAGTTAACAACTATTCAAAACAGGGCAATCCAAGGACAGAATGTTTTTTTTCATTCTCAAAAAAAAAAAACTGAGGAAATTTGTTTTACACACTCCCCACTCTGCATCAGACATGGACTGTATCTGTAAAGCAGACCGTGGTGCCAGACTGTGTAGCCACATGGACTGTGTTACATGGACTTGGATGTTCTTCAGGTTAGAAAATGCACCTATGACATATAAAACCTTCTGATAGAAAAGTGATGGGTAAAAATCCTCAATTTAAGATTTGTCCCAACCCAAGACATTTTTCACCGTCTCAAGACAGCAAAATATTGTTTCCTTTGCTGGTCCACAATAACTGTCAGATCCCCCTTTATATCTATAGAAGAATAATGAAGCCATTATAATTATGTTGGACCTGAAATCTTTTCGGTTATAGAAGTCCCATGCAGAAGCGTGGCACACCACCTGCCGCCCGTCAGACGGCTTCTCCAACATGGATTTGTCCCAGAACTCTTTTGGCATTGGAAGGAGACCCAGAGAGGTGAAGAAATTGTCTGATTCCTGAAACATCCTGGTGGCATTCCAGCCCTGTAGGGGAAAGAATGAGGATGCACAAATGCTAAATTAGATATTTGATATGCGAAAGAATCGGTACAAACAATTGGAGGCAACATGATTGCTGTAAGCTGTACAGTTATCATTCAAAAAGCGATGGTTCTTCTTGTGTATGCTGCAAGGGTAATTTTTGCAATATCGCCTCGGTGTGTTTGTTCACCTGAGCCACCATTGCTGGCGTGGCATCAACTTGTGTGGCGTGTGGGTATGGCATGACCAAATCCATAATGCCGGACCATGTCTGTGCCCACATGTTGCCTGAAAGTACAGAGCAAAACAAAGATTTACCATTTCTCTAGGACTAAGAACTTAGGTTACTGGTCATCCCCTCCTCTGCCTGTGTTTGACCGAGTGGGATTTGGCACTTTAAGTCGGTCCAATCCCTAACCCTATGGAACTGTCACACAGAATCTCACGCTCAGTGCCTTTGAAAGAAATTGAAATCACGCCTAAGTCCAAATGCATCTGCGGCCAACAGCTTGTCACTGGAGTATGCTCACGTATAAAAGAAAAGTTTTGACTATAGTGTCAAAATACTTTGGATTCCTTTGTGAAATTTTAGCTGACAGTGACTTTTTTCTTGGGACTATAGTCTCCAGAAAACTCATATTGAACATGTACAATTCACAATTCATCGCAAGGTTCAACCTACCAAGCAAATGAGCTGGGATGGGTCCCTTTAGGTTGATGCGTTCAGGGCCGTATTTTTTGTATAAACCCCTTCGAACATAGGCGTGTACATTCTGATAGAGCGGTTCCAGCTCCTTCCACAGAGACTCCAGGTCTTCCTCAAAGGTTGGGGTTTCATACAGTGACCGCCAGAACGCCCCGTTATCGGAATGACCTACAAATGGTACCAGCAGGAAACACAGCGTTCGTTGAAAATCACTGCTCAGGTCACAGATTGGCTTGTTTACCCCTTTCTATCAAAGCTGGCTTCATGGACAAGGATCACCTTAAAATGTTTGGGATAGCAAATAAAGACTTCAATTGAAACCCTAATGTGGCATAAACCAAAGAAGTCTACTTTAACTGGAAATGTGTAAATACTCAGTTAAAAAAACAAGATTACAGTCGGTACTGTAATCTTGTGAAATGTAAAACCATTTAAAAATGCCCATGTCCTCATATCGTCACAATTCCAGCAACAGATATGAGGGAGACTCCTAATATGGATGTAAAATAAGTGCTTGGTGTCATACCATTTTGCATTGCAGCTTTGTTGGCCAGTTCAACGTATCTTTTATAATCCTGACGAAGAACTTTTCCAGCTGCATCTCTCCATCCTTTCCAGGCGAACAAGAGTTCATCATAATCCCTGGACTCTGCCATAATTTTCTGGAGATCTTAAACACACATTTTTTTGTTAGAAACTGTAGCTACTTAAATTGTGAAAGGTATAAACTATACACATACATAAACTATACACACTCTGTGTTTATATATGCGTGTCCATTCATATTACAGTTAACAGATATTCAATCATTTACCTGGATCCAGTGGGTGGCATGTGCCATCAGTCCTGCAGACCTCGGCCACACTGTACTTTGTTTCCATATTAGAAAGGAGAGTGTTGTACTGTAAAGACAAAAAGTCAGGGTTTATACTGAGGCCTCTGTCTATAGCAACGGGAGACGCCTCCCCTTCTAAAGCCACAGTGATTTCAGTTCATGACAGGCCTGTATCCAGGTGGTTCTTCTGTTTATTCATCTTACAGCAGTTTCCCCTTCACAGTCTTTGTTAAATAGGCCAATCCCACCCAATAACTGTTTACATACCAGCGTTTTGTTTGATGATTTTAGAACCTGCTGGTTTCTAGAGAGGACTCAGAGAAACAGTCCCAACTCCCGTACGTCTACAGTTCACCTCAAATGTGCATCAAGCACCTTGGACTTTCCTGTTGTTGCATAATGTGTTTGTCAGTTCCATGTGTGGTGTTAAACCTGGACCGCCTGTGACGCAACCAGCAACCATAACCAACAGTGTTGCAAGAGGAATGGAGACGTTTAGTCACCGTTTAGTCAAACTCTTCGCCTCCACTGTATTAATCTAGGCATGCGAGTTTGTATTGATTTCACAAATCCATGGCACGGCACCTCTTGGCAAAGAGTAGTGTATACAAGCCTCTGTGCACACACACACACATTCGAGGCAGCCTGTGTCTTACTCCATGTGGAATCATTATTTTTCAATTAATTTGAAACATATTGGATGGGTGGATTCAGAACACGTAAAATCTTTTTATTCTTACCTCTTCAAGTTCTTGCGATGGCAGTGCAGCCCTCTCAATGTCACTCAGTTTTTTTATGATTCTTTTGACCGAGCCATCCTGAAAGTCAGTGGTGTCATACTGCCGCGCCTGTAGTCCATACTTCAGGGTGTGTGCCGACATTTCCAGGCTCTTATCAAGCTAAAACAAAGACAAAAAAACACTTATAATTTAACAACAAAAAAAGTAGGGTTTACATGAAAGATTCCGTGATTCATGCATGCTACATGCTCATTTTTATTGATCACAGTTTCACACATTTCAACAGAAGTATGGATGGAATGAATCAGTGAATCTGTCAAAGAGGAGGTCCTACCATGGCCTGCTTATTGGCCTCGTTGATGTCGGTATTATATTTCCAAGAGGCCTCAGTGTATGCATTCCACACCACTTCAGCTGAGCTGTTGTATTCGTCCAGGAATTTATTTGCATCAACCTCATCTGTATTCTTATCTGGGTGACAAAAAAAAAAAAAGAGAGACAGACCGAGTCACTTGAAATGAATTGCATAAAGCAATAACCAAGTAGTCAAGTTTGAGTCATTCTAGTTTGGTCAGATCAAAACAATGTGTCACAGCCTTGTTTTTGTTAAAAGTAAAGAATGAAAGAATCACGCCGTAGACGCCCTTACCAATATCTTCAGGGTAACCTTCCGGGATGGGGGGGACCCAGTTGAAGTCCGGCCATCCCAAAGTCTCATTCACATTTTGTTTTTCAAGCCACTTGATTATGGGATCAAAGTATTTCATAAGTGCGTTGGCATTCATCTCATTGGTGCCAATGGCTTCCTGAAGCACCTCAGGCCAAGCTTTGGAAGAACCAGCCTGAAGGATTTTCCTGTGGAGGAAGAGGAAAATACATTAGATCTTTACTTTTTAGAGCAAAACTTAACAACCCAGGCGTCACTTACTCCAGAATGGCTCCTGCCTCAGCAGAGCGGTAGATGTCACATGTGTGCAGAGGGCCGGTGTGATTGGCTGCCTCGCAGAGCTTTTCATGAAGCTGGAACTGCAGGATGAAGCTGACAAAATACCTGCAGGAGAAGAGGGAAAGAAAAGCATGAAAATTCAACTTTTGATGAAAACCATCATTTTCATCTACAGCCAATACAGTGCTGAGGATGCTGCAGGATGCTACCTGATGTATGGGGTGTTTCCAGGGATGTGGTATTTTGCCCCAGGATCGAAGTGCTCCTCTGTACGTTTGGTAGGTGGGCAAATTCCCTGATATTTTGTTCTGTGAGTGGGAAAGAAATATTAATAAAGTGACACAAGTGCTAAAAAAAAAAAAGCAGTATGCGCCTACTGAGCAGCCACACACCTGAGATACCACCATTCAGAGTTGTACCGGTCTGGACTGGTGCGTCCATTAAACACTCCCCATCTCCAGAGATCAATGAGGTAGCCGAAAGGAAGAAACGCTATCTTCTCGAGAGCCATTTTCAACAGGAAGTTTAGGTCGGTTTCTAGGTGGAGAAAAGGGAAAACCAACATTTATTTTCTTTTAAACATAAAAGAAAACAGAGTACTTAAGATCTCAGATCAGTTGTGGGATGCTGCCAGTTCAGCCAGACGAGGCTTCCTTCAACAGAGGCGCTTCAGTCATTACCCGCATCGGAGGTCAGGGACTCCAGCAGGTTGATGGTGTGCAGGTGCTTCGGTGTTGAGACCGACAGCGACATTACATCGCCGATGGCTTCATGAAAACCAGGGTTTGCACCACGACGGTAGCCCACGGGCTGATCCTTGTACTGCAGGTAATACTGGATGTGTCCCATCTCATGGTGGACGGTGAAAAGCTGTTCCATCGTCACTGTGGTGCACTGCTTGATCCTAAAGCGGATTGAATATGACTTGCAGTGCGTCTTTTTATCAGGAGGAGCAACAGTTGTTGTGCTTATTTTTTTTTACTTAAAGTGCAAGTGCATCGAACAAAAAAACATTACCTGAAGTCTTTGCGGTTGTAAAAGTCCCAGGCAGATGCATGGCAGACAACCTCCCGATTGTCAGGCTTAACAAGCATGGAACCTTCCCAGAATTCCCCGGGCATCTCCTTTAACCCCAGAGAGGTAAAGAACTCCTCGGCCACACGAAACATGTGGGTCGCATTGTAGCCCTGTGAAGATAATAAACCATGTGACCAAGCCCAATAACTTAAGCGTTTAAGTCCTCACCACTGTCAGTGTCAACTCTCATAAAAGACTCATGTGAGTTCTTCAAACTCACTTGTTTAACCATTTCATCAGTGACGTCCAGATTGGGTTTGTCAGGAAATGGGATCATCATATTGTAAATGTTGTTCCAGGTCTGGGCCCACATATTTCCTGAGGAGGAAGAAAACACACTTAGGCAGCCGGTCTGTGCTGTTTTGTGATGAAGGAAATGCCTTTGCACGGCACACAAGTCCCCATCGATGACAGAGATGGAAAAAATAAGGCGCCGTTTTAAGTTTATATTTACCCAGCAGATGGGCGGGGATTGGTCCTTTCAGGTTGATGTATTTGGGGCCGTATTGGTTGTAAAGCTGGCGGCGCACGAATGCATGCAGGTGCAGGTAGAGTGGCTTGATGGTGCTGTAGAGTTTGTCTATATCCTGCTCAAAAGTTTCGGTTTCGTACCAAGAACGCCAATCAGCTCCCGTGTCTTCAAATCCTGGGAATACAAAAAAATAAAGAGTTCCATTCCGTCATTTCATATTCAGTTTATGTTTTCTACACCCCATTTGTAGGATTCCGAAGTTCATGGAGAATTACTCACCGTCAGCTTGAGAGGCTTTGTTGCTGAGTTCCACAAACCTGGGGTAGTGCTGCTTGAGTGGAACACCTGACGCGTTGTGCCAGCCCTCCCAGGCAAAGAGCAGCCTTTTGTAGCTCCTGGAGCTGGCCATGATATCTGTGAGCTCTACAGAATAAAGGAAAGTTTACACATTTACGCTCGCATGGAAAAATATAATAATTACTTACTACAACATCAAACAGGGAGGAAAAAGTGTTCTTTTAAACAAGATGTTTAAACGACTTCCAGTTCCCCAGAGGGAGCTCCTACCCCTTTATCTAAGAAATTAGCAATGACTTAGGACATTTTCAAGACTTTCTTACAGCTGTAACACAACATATCTGCAAAGTGACAGAAATTGGAAAAAAAGCTGATAATGAAGTGGTATTAAGCATCTGCTTAAATCAAAAGAAGGTGTATTGTAATTCACGTGTTCACCATGGATCTTTTCCATCAATTAAGAAACTGGCAAATGTTACACAGACTGTATCTTAACAGCAATGAGCTCATTTCATTTTACGAGCAATTCTCTCTAGCTGAGGGGATTGTTTTTGCACTGTCACACTATGTGCACTGGAAAAAAGAGAAAAAAAAGGAAAGAAAAGGTTTCTCACAATTGAATGAAGCAGTTGTTGCCGACTAAAACACAAAAGACTATTGTTCAGTGATTGCCAGTGGCGTTAAAGCAACCAACGTGCGGTTTCTATAGTTTTCAACAGACTCTTGGCCACATCAACAACATTTCCTCTGAAAGCCTCTCTGAAGCCATTTTGCCCATCCTGTTACTTCCAGGAACAAATCATATCTGAACCACTTACAACTGTTTTCCTTTTAAGACTTCCCCTGCACATAGTTGCTGGATACTCAGTCAATGCAATGTTACTCTGAACTCCAACACATGAGTATGTAAACAAGTCATGTATGCAATCTTGACCCTTAAATGTTGGACTTTTCAGTGGCCGTTTACTCACCAGGTTCAAGACTCCAGCTTACGTTTGGCTGTGGGTACACCTTAGCGGTGGAATAAATACTGTCCATAGTGCTGAGAATGGTGTTATACTAAAGGAAAAAAGGAAAATAAGACATTAAGGTAATTCAATGCTAAAAATAAAAAATAAACACGCTACACGAGCAAACCTCTTCTCTTTCACTCAGCGGAAGGTTGGCAGCACCAAGTGACATGATCTTTTCCATCAGCTTCTTGTCTTTAGGGTCAGCGAGGGAGTTGAGAAGCTCACGAGAAAATACACTCTTGGCCTTCATCCCCCAAGCTTCGGCGAAGGCTTGCTCTTCTAAGGTTGCTTCCACCTGAGGAGGCAGAGGCAAATCAAAGTGATATGGGAGTCCTGCCCAAAAAGCACTCAAAAATAAGATGAAGCATGCCAAAAAACCAAGAAAAGCCACACCCGCCCATGTTTGTAATGTTCCAGCTGACTGCCTTCACTTGTTCTTTAGTTAGTTGTGTATATAGTTTGAACTATAGTGCAGGTTTGTCATGCTTAAATGTCATTGTTGATAAGCTTAAATTCTATTTTGTGATAGTGAAAAGTGTTTTAGCAGATTGTAGAATGTTTATTTATTGTCGATAATATAGAGACACAAAAAGCGAAGTATCTGGTGGATGGCGCCAAGTTGTATAAAAGAAAAGAGAAAGAAAAAAAGTGAAGGACAAACTTGGGAGAGAAAAAACAAAGAAAATGCTGGTCTGAATAAGACAGACACTTAAAAGACATTTAAAAATGTTTCCTCTTTAACTCTGATTATCCACCAAAATGTGTTCACCACGTAACAAATTAAATACATTCTTGGAAAAACCATCATCCATTGCCTATAACTACATTCTATACCTCTGATCCCTGAGATTGTGTTCTAACACAAATACATTTTCCCTTTGGGATCATTCAAATATTTTCCTTTTCAGAGGACAGGGATAGTGTTTTCAGAAAATGCCTTTACCATTGTGCTCACTAACAGCCCCAGTGAATCTCAAGAGGTTTTCTTTATGGCACTCCGAAAGGTCATGGACTTTCCGTGTAATGATAGTGGCGGTAGAATAGACAGCATCAAGGCTGCTGTGGAACATTGGATGGTACATTTGCAGAACATTTTTCTTCTGCTGTATGGCTACAGCGCTTGTTGTTCTGTGCAACTGAAGTACCCAGTGCAACAGCATTGCAGCTCTTTGAGCAAGCCTTAAAAGAAAAATTAAAATGAAGAGAAACCCAGCACTGAATTTACCAAGAAGCCTTGAAAAATTCTAAGTTCAATTCCCAAATGATGACTTAGCCAAAGAGTAATGTGTCATTGGCCAGAGGTTGTCATATGTCCTCACATCCTTAACCAACAGAAGCATCATTCCACAAATGTTTTAGTAGAAACCCATTTGGGTCACTCTAGCTAAAAAGGGAAGATAAAGTATTAACTAACATTTGTGTTGTTTTTCACATTTCAATTCCCCACTCAAAAAAGGGCTATCAGCTACATATTCAGTCCAATTTCTTCATCAGTATTCACCCTTTGAATAGCATAAAATGTGGACCGTTTTCAGGTTCCTCATATAAAATTTAGTGCTGAAGTCAGCTTGACATTCAACTGAACAAAAATAAGATATGATTGGCTTCTTTCGGGGATTCGATAAGGCAATGGTTGATGACATTTCAGTGTGATTCGGTTTCACTTCTGTTTGACTCCCTGGAGGTCTGAGTACAATGAGCTGGCTTCAGGGAAAGGGTTTGTCTAAACTGTGTAGCACTTGTTAATGACCCATGCAGCACAGTTAGAAACTCCTCAGTTATAATGTAATGGACCTCAGAGCACAACAAGCAGAATGTTTAGATCATAAAATAATCCAAAGCTGAACCCTCAACTGAGAGTATAAAATGGCCCCAGTAATAAAGCAACACACCTAACAAATTTTTTATTTATTTTTATGATTCTATAATACTACTTTAAATTTCAAAATACAATTATTAAAACACATCTTTTTATTACAGATCCTGCACCTTCCTTTTGACTGACCAGTAGCAGATAAATATCTACAATTACGTTTCTAAATGAACAAATTCATGTATATATAGTCTATTATGCAATGAGTACTGATTTTCTGAACAAGACCATTTATTATTTTTATTTGAATTTCGTCAGTTTTGGTACTCCATACTGTCATGCCCCCCCCTTGCGAGAACTCAGCACTTTGATCCTGACTTCAAGCTGTTCAACACACACACCCAATCTCATCTTTAACCCTGAAACACTCATAAAGTTTGTGTTAGGCTGCGTCTCCTCAAACCAGGAGATGTCAAAGAGTGAATGAGTGCCTAGCTTCAGGGTGATCATTAAAGACAAGCCCCTTGGAGCAGGGATGAGTCTAAACTCTGGAGTCTGGACTCGAAACAACACCATAAAATATTCTGCACCCTGACCTCTGACATATCCACACCTGTCCAGACTGAAGAGAATTCACCGCGTTTAAAGCCCGAACAGTGTTCTGAAAAGCTGTTGTGACAGCTGTGCGAGCACACAATACCCCGGAGTTCCCCGCTCCAGTGCCTGTCTTGCCTCCGTTCGTTTACAGGGCAGAGAGGGACACTACCTCTATCTCCCTGTCCACGGTTAATGCAAATATGTCAGGCCTGTGAGATATTGCCTCCATTATTGCCGACATCTCAGTTTGAGAGAGGAATTGGAAAAATTGTGTTGCAGTCACTGCAGAAAATCTGCCAGAAGACAGTTCCATCGTGTGCCAGAAACATTTTTACTATGTGTAAAACTGCAGTGCAGAGGGGGCTTGCGTGCTTGCTTAAATAAATATTCATATGGTATCATTGAGATTTAGTTCTGGGGTCATTCATTCCCTGGATTCAGTTAAACTGGGATATGAATGACGCCCAGATGAAGAGCCCTTTTAGAGGTGCTCCCTCCTACAGATGTTTTCACCACTGGCAGATAAGCCAAGATCTTAATCTTCTGAGGAGATATGTTGTAAATAAGGGGGGAAAGGCAGGGGAATGTCTGTCAGGAGTTTCAGATCCCTGAATTCAACAAATAAGTGAATAATGAGAATTTAAAAAGAGGCGCACCACAGGCATTCAATCCGTTTTCTATTCAGTAAAACACACAGGCCGAGTTGGCCGGCTCTGGGGGGAAAATGAGCGTGTGATTCTGGGGAGAGATGAATAAACTCTAGCAGAGTTAAGCTCCCCAGGACCATGCATACTTTCGCGTTGACAAGTTACCGCAATTTTGGCAGGAAAGGGGACTGATTATGCATCTGCATCTGCGAGTTTTGGCGCAAGTGGCCACTAGAAAACCCGAGCGCTTTTTTTCTCACCTGAAGTTTGGAGTTGTGCTCCGTCAGGTTGGTGTTGTAGGTCCAACTGGCGGACACGCTGAAATAAAACACCTCTTCGGCGGTGCTGTTGTATTCGTCCAGGAACCTCATGGCATCGGCCGTGGTGTTGGCGTAGTCCCCCGGACGCCAGGAGTCGCGCAGCGCTCCGCAGAGCGCGCACAGCGGCAGCAGCAGCAGCGCCACGCACGGATACCTGCTCACGCCAGCAGCACCCATGGCTTTCCCCCACATGGGAACTGTGGAACGGAGTGTTTGAAATGTCACAGATGAGGGGAAATAACGGAGGGATGGAGGGAGGGGGGGAAAAAGCACTTGCTCTCAATCAAGTGCGAGTACGCGTTCACTTCTGTGCTTGTCTCATCCAAACGCTCCTCTCCAGCCTCCCAGCCTGTCCGCCGGTATTAATAACACACACAAGCCAACTCGTTCTTGCCTTTAACCGCCAGCTTTAACCCAGCCCACCAATGTCTGCGGCCCACCCCCTTTTACCAGTTCACAACCGAGCACATTTCCCCACCCGTGTCGGCTGCCAGAGAACCCAAAGAGCTCACGCCTCTGCGCCGTTAGGAGGCTGAGAAATCTCCACCTTTACTTGAGTTTTGCCAAGACAGAGCTAGGATTGGTGCACAGTGAGGAGCAGCGGTGTGTCAGGAAGGGATTGCAAATATTTCAAACACTCTTTGAATCCTATGGCGCGGGTGTTTTAAAAAGTGGGAAATTAGAAAGGGTAAATGGGAGAATTAGAAGTGACCACATTATTCTTGAGACTCAGTTGCAAAGACTTAAGAAAGTGAGCAATAATGTAGGATCAAAGGCACACATCTGTGGCATGTATTGTAATAGCTTGTATGGGAGCCTTATTTCCATGTGTACCAAAGGGAGTTAATTAAACTGATTAAACAATATTCCACTGGGTTGTTTACCTCCTTATATTAAGAAACACAAACAAAATTTACTGTGCAGCTTTCCGTCTGAAATTAAACTGTTATCTGAGTCTGCTGGTACACTCTGTGAGCAGTGTGGATGCAGCTACACAAACAAAGCACCAGTGCAATAACTAGTATCTAAAATCAATTTACAATTCAGAAACAGTTTGCTTTAGTTGTGAAGAAAAACCTGACAGCTGGTGCAAATTTAACCAAAACGCATTAGACAAAAAACATCACTGATGTTATGGTTTGATCCACATATACAGCTGGCATTCATCATATTTCATATGATGCCAAGCAGATGTTTCAAACTGTGCTGCTTCTATCCTCCTGAACTCCACTGAGCTGAAGTGTTGTAGTTGTGTGCATTTGTGTGACATGTGGCCTGGTTCCCTGCTCTAGCAGGTGTCACTGCACAAGTAACACGCCACAACCTGAGCACTAAAAGGGCAAAGTTCAGACACTATTGAAATCTGACAGCCGTTCTTGTTGCTGAACATTCGATCTGAAAACTACCACTGATATGCTTATACCAAGAATTTTAAAATGTCATGTCAGTTTGTGAACGTTCCGTTTTTTCCTGTAGTCTGCTGTCAAATCTAATGTGTCTTCTTGTATTATTTCATAATCTATGTTTCTGGTCATCTATTTGATAATGTAATTTAATATGAAGTTTAAATTGGGTAACTATGACAAAATGTTTTAGAACTCTCTCATTCATTCAGATTTTTATCAAAATGAAATAAACTTTATCAAAAGTGAGAAAAGTGCGCTTAAATTCAAGCTTCCATTTTGCTATTATCTCATGCACTTGTTGATTTTAAACACTGCTGACAGTTTCCCCCCTGATTCTATATTTCTCATGAGTATTATGAATTAATCAAGTAGCGATATTGCAGAACAAAAAAAAGAGTTCCTCACTTTTTATGGACTGAAATCATAGCGATAATAGTTCAGGTCCAATACTGACCGCCCTTATCTTAAATGGGAACTGATCACTCTAATGGGTTGTTTCAGATATCCACAGTATCAGGATTTATAGGCGTTATCACTAGTTATGGCCTCTTCAGGCTCTCTGCCAACCTTGACTGTGACATGACAACAGTTAATGTCCAACAGAATCCAGATTAGCTTTAAATTTTCCTGTCATCTGCAGCAGAGTGTGTTTGAGGGTCAAATTATTCTTCCCTCTGGATAAGATAAAGGTGTAATTGTTAAAAACAGACACTTGAGTTAGCTTCAACATTGTTATAACGGATGCTTTCATTTGCTGGGAACATGAGAGAATTAACACTTAAAGTTACTGATTAAGGAGGACCACTCAGTTGGATCAGAAGCGATATTTGGTTTGTTGAGCTGAGCGGACTGTCAAGGTAAAAGCAGTTGTCATCACCATATTAAGAGACAGCCACATGTTTGGGGTCATGATCAGTTCAGCTTTCAATCACTGGAAAAATCAAATCATGCCCCTGCTGCAGGTGTGCTGAGTTCTGCCTCAATCAGGCCTCCAGAGGTGAACTTACATATCTTTGAAATGATATAGCAGATATCAAATGTCCCATAAATAACTGTAATGAGATCATAGTCACACTTGGGGGTGTAAGTCGGCACGTGCGTCACAAGTCACATGCCCAACGTGTGTACGGTCAAGGAAACGGCTTGCTATTTATAGAGAAAAACGATCAAAACCGGCCACATAGATGGATGGCTCCCTATGAATAGATGATAAGGCAGAAGCCAGTGTTTTATGAACTACACAGACAGACTTTTTCATCGTCATACATGTGGCCAACGATACAGTGGCACGATGAAGTGATAAATACGATGGAGTCATAAAAGCCACAAGCTATTTAAAGTGTGAAATGAAGACAGAAGGGAAAAAATCCATGATCCTTGTGAAAAATAAAGTATTATCAGATTGTTTCCAGTAGAAGTGAAACCCGCGGCTACTAAACTAAGAAACCAAAGTTTCAGAAAAGGGCATCAGGTGCTTAAAGACTAATTGCAAATTAGTTTGCAGTGACAAAAACCAGTCCACAATGAAAACAGACCCCTGCTTCATTTTGTGTGCGAGTGTGCGTGCACACGTGTCCTGCAATTGTAGTTTCCTCACAGTTGTCGGTGCTATAATTGAATTTGGCTTTTCCTCTAATAGAAATCTGTGAAGTGTGGAGAGCCCGTGATATGCCAGACCATCCAATCTCCTCAAACCAGCATTTGTGGCTCACTATGGGACGTGGACACTGCAGGGGCTGTTTGTGCGTGCAGAATATATTGTAGGATATAAGATAACATATTCTGCTTATTGAACAGAGTTGCTGTTTCTCCAACCAAAAGTTCAAAGCACCTAAACCAGATACCAGCATTTAATGTCAAATAATTTTAATTAACCCCTATTCCCATCATAGCAAATGTTTTATTTTACCAAATCCAAGAATAGTTTGGATCAGACTTCCATCCATTCTCCAGTTTATCTTGTCCTGTTTATATGGGGCTGCAACTCTATTTGACATCATGTGATGCAGTCCATCACATGTCTAACACAGAGAGACAGATAAACGAGCAAAAAACCAGAAGCTCCCACAGAAACACGCATATACAGAGATCACATAACCCCACAGAGAAATTGTCAGCAATATTCTGGATGATTTAGAGGGGAAAAACAGAAGATGAGAAAAAAGAGCAGATGTTGACTCTTCAGCGGCTCATGCACTCACAGCTTAAGAATGATGCCCTAAAACAGCTGAATTCACTCTGCATTTTAAACTCATTTCAACGAAGCAGGGTGTAATGACAGGTGCTTGAGCCTGGAACTCAAGCGTACTTTGGTTTCAGGCAGATTAACAGCAGGTGCTCGTACCAATAAATGTAGCAATTAATCAAAAATGGTCACAAGAGAAGGAGAAGTGCACTGGCAGGCTAACATGAAAGTAAACAATGTGAAACCTAAAATAGTTAATGAGGAAGAGATGGACTCAACATACTTGTTTGTCCATGAAGGAAAGAAAGAAATAAACAAAAAGGGAGAAATATGTTTGAATTCAGGAGTTAGTTTCATGTTGCATTGGCCAGTGCCTCTTAGCTTTATTTACTAGAGGTGTTCTCTTCTCTTCTTTTTCCACGTCTCTGTAACTTTAAGATTCCTTTTTTATTTTTGCTCTTGAACTTTGGTTTATAACTCGCTGGGGCTCTAACACATGTGAATTGGTCTCTCCAGCTGATAACAGCTATAGCTGATATTCTTTTGGTGTTTTTGTAACTCCCTTCCCCAGGTGTTTGGATCTCATCTGTTTATCTTTCATATTCCGCACGTGTCAAACATACACGCTCAATCCATCCGTCTCCTTTCCCTTCATTTCCACTGAGAGAGTAGCTGGTGGGTTGAATGCCAGAGGTCGGTGTTGCTGCGATTAGCTCGGAGATGCAGGGGACTCTTAGGAGGCAGATGTTCACGAAGGCCGCTTTTATAGTCGTGCCAGCTTTTTCTCCATAAAAATGTAAGATATTTATGTGTGCTGTTAAGTTTGTTGACAGCGACAGCAGCCTCTGCACAGTCCAGGTTACGATCGGTTTCTTCGTCCACTCCTGTGTCTTTGTTGCAAGTAAACTGTGTTAAATCACTGTCAAAACGTCAAACGTCTACTGTGTGCTATGTCAAAAGACAAAAAAAGGACCATTTCTAACATGGCGGCTTTCTTCTTCATACGGTTGGGATTTATACACAGCACCCTGCACTCGTTCATGCTCTCCTTTGAGTAATAGTTTAATTTTCGAGTCCCAGTGAGAGGATTTCCGGATCAAGCAGCTGGTTTTACACTTGAATAGCTGAATTGTGTAAACAAGACCATAAAAGCAAGAATCAGCTGCTAATGCTATCCTGCACGATATGAAGGTTGGATTTGCATTAAACAACAAATAATCTGCCGTGTGTGGAAGTCCAATGGTAATCTATTTTATTGGGTGGCAGCAGATAAACCAAAATCTGTTGTTTATTACTGGATACTTCTCCTACACTTCTGGGGTCTTTCTAGCACAGAGCGTTCGGAAGATGAATTGGTTTAAGTGTGGAATAATGAGCAGGTAAAGACTTCACAGTCATCTACTTGAGGCTTAGAAGAAATAGTACGCAACTTTATTCTTTCTGCGAGTATATTGGTAGAAAAGGAAGAGAAGGGTGTTCCCCTTTGTCTTGGATTCTGTAATATGTTTTATAATTATCTGTGATCTGTTGCCAAGGCGTAGTGTGCTAAATGACTTTAGTCTTTCTGTGTTGGGTCATACAGAAAAATTAAAAGAATATGTTACAAGTTAGAAATAACAGACAGCTATTTTGACCCTTCGACTCAATATAACACATGAGAACATGAGAAAAAACAAGCACATAAAGTCATCCAGTTTCTCTTATCAGTTAATGACTGCAATTTTAGCAACAGCAAACTGATGACAGTACTAAGAAATCCACAAAATTGCTTGTCATATCTAACCTGGTGATCAGCCATTGTTTTTTTTCAACGGAGATTATGCTCAGTGTTTGTCTGCATACAGAAAAGTTGACATTTACTACATTCATTTCCAGAAGAAGAAAAAAGCACTGTGATAAAATGGAGTGTGGCGAGAGCAGGGAACTGGGTGAAAACTGCCAAGATTGCATTTTTTTCTAATCTTTTTTGCATGTAGTTTTGCAAGAAATGGACAAACTAAAATGATTATATCACGATAAAGTCAGATATTGCTACACTCCCTTATACGACCATGAATATTTCTCAAAACATTCAGGTCAGTTTATTCAGTTGTTTATTCAATACAGCAAATATAAAATTTCATGGATGGAAGATCCGTAGTAGGGAGTCTTTACAGTCCCTAGCTTGTTTCAAAAATATTTGTCCACTTAAAGTCTTTCAGATATTTTAACAATTTCAGATTCACTGTGCCAAAAAGAAGAACCGCCAAGGGGGTGAGGGGGTAGGGGGGATCTTTAATTGTGAATATCTGAGGAAACTTTAAAAAAAAAACAGAAACAAGTAGCTGATTCGAATAGAGAATTTTCTCTTTCACTGAAAAAGTGCCAAAATGGCCCTGAGGACTTCAAAATAAAAGTGCTATTGCTCCCATACCTCCTTCCTCCCAGTTATCATTCTCCTGCAGAGCTGAAGTCAATTCAGCAAGACAGATGATCACCAGAAACGCCAATTGTATCCGTATGAGTGCACTTTGGGCAAAAACTATTAACTGGGAGCTTGAAAACCAACACAAAGACTTCTGCGCACACACAATTACGCAGGAGGATGTTTGGGGAGGATGCCGGTTGTTTATGAGAATGTCTGTTCCTTCTTATCAGGCATAACACACAGTAATCATGTAGCAGTGTTCCACAGCGTCGTTGTTGTGGCTGAAGATTGACTGAGGTATTTTTCTCTGAATTGCACTGACCTCTAGTGGACATTTCTGCATAGCGCAATTTCTCCTATTTCATACTGCCGAGATGCGGATTATCGGACACCTGATATACATTTTTTGCTTTGATTAGTTTAGATTTTTTCAATACTGATCACAGAAGCTCAGAAAATAACCCTCTTTTCAAAGCAAACAGAAGTTTCCTGTCTATCTCGCCGTGGTGAGCAGTCTATGGGGAGTCCACCTGAGGCAGCCCTGCCCTGAACGCAGCTGCTCCAAAATCTCTACCCTGCGGTATTTTCCGCGTTCCCACTCCTCCCTGCCTACACCGAGTCTTACTTTTTTTATTTAAAGACCTCAAAGAGCGTCTATTCACCTCCCTCGGAAACTTCTGGTTTTTATATCTGACACGGCCACGGGAGAGATGTCGGAGCAAAAGAGCGTTTCTGAAGTTATTACTCAGATATTACAAGAAGCGCCAGCCGCCAGGAAGCAGCTGGTCGATAACCACAGCAACCTCCTCCAAGTGGCAGATTACTGCGAGAACAATTACCTCCAGGTGAGTGCTGCCCAAAAAAACACCTCCACCGCAGGTGCTGACCACTGGGACAACTCAACTTTTCGTCATGCAGCTACTACTAATATTTCCAATTATGGCACAGACAGAGGATCCAAACAAGGCTGTTGAGGAGACCAAGGCTCTGGCGATCCAGGCTTTAGCCAGTGTGACCTACCAGATCAACGGCGTGGCCAGCACCCTCCTGAAGCTGCTGGACACACAGGCCATGCAGGTCAAAGACATGGAGTCCTCCGTCAGCCTGATGTCCCTGGTGAGGACTGCCCTAAAAAGGAAAGGGGAAAGGGGTCCCACTTCAGAACAGCCGCATTTAATGCTGAAAAATGGGTCTTAAAAGGTCTTAACAGTCAGTGGGGAAAGCAACAAAAGTTAAATTACAAAACTTGAAATGGAAATGGATTTAAAATGGGAAATGAAGTGGCCAACTTTCAAGTAATTTGACTTTTGATTTATTGAACGAGCTCTAAATTGACAAGATGAACAGATTTTTAAAATAATTAGAAACAGCAAGATCATTATCAACATTATTTATATATATATATCATTATAGTTTGTTTACTATATAATAGGTGGGATATGTTACTTTTTCATAACACATAACACCTTACCTTTTTATTTTAGAAAATATTTATTCAAAATGTGAGTCCATCTGTAACCACGATATATTGAAACGGGAATCAATTTTACACCGTCCATAAACCACTTGATGTGAACAAGGTGTGTGTTATTGTTTACACTGTTCTGGTGTCCAGGCTGCAGCCATCCACTTTGAGAAGGTGGCTAGGAGGGAGATTGGTACCTTTACCGTCCCCAAGGACAAGACTCGTTCCAAGCCGATGACCCCACCGGCATTGGGCATGGAACCAGAGAAAGACTACACGAGAATACCAATATCGTATTCCATCTTGGACTCCATCGGCCACGGCTATCTGGTAAAGAGGCTTTTCAGTTGAAAGCGAATGGATTTCTGATTCACCTCGGGCTGCACTGAATTCCATCTTCTCTGTGAGCAGGTCACAGTGGCTACGGGTGGAGGTTTCTTTCACTTTCAGTCATCTTCTTTCCACAGGTTACGGGGGGACCCCCCAGAAAGAGGGCAGAGACTGTAAACAGCACACAGATCAGTGACAAGGCCGTAGTGTATGTACACCCTCAGTCTTTCTGTCCACCGTTTTTCATCCCGATACGACATCATATCATCATCACATAATTTTACTTTTCATTTTTTTCAAAGATCCAGTCTTGGCATCGCCGTACCTCCGCCCTCGGTTCCCACCTTGCCCACCGGATCTACAAACAGCAGCCTGCCCCCCCCTCCCCCTGCTTCTGCCAACATGGACCCCAGTCTACCTCCACCCCCTTCTGTCATTGACAATGGTCTCCCCCCTCCACCCTCTTTTCCCTCACCCTCAGATCTGCCTCCACCTCCTCCACCAAATATCAACCTGTCAAACAACCCCTACTCACCTCCGCCTCCCCCTCCTCCTCTTGCATCGGGAGCCGCACCGCCTCCACCTCCTCCTCCACCTCCTCCTCCACCTCCACCAGCTGTACACACCAGCACCTCCTCTGCTGTACCACCACCTCCTCCACCACCACCACCACCCTTCTAGACTCTAACACAGAAACTGGCCAAAGCATGCTGAGTTCAGCCTTGCCATTCATCTGAAAACCATGTGTAGCCTGATGAATACCTTAGCTCCTGGTCAGTGTGACATCTAGAGAATAAACAAGGTTCAAAGGAGTGTGCAAGAGGTTTGACTTGTTTTGTGTGTTTTAAACAGCCGGCCAAAGCGTACAATTTGCCTTTTTCTGGGAGAAAAAAAATCTCTTCTTCAGCCTAAATTTTGCTGCCGGGGAAAATTCAACAGGTCTCAACAACGCCTCAGTTGCATTCCTTAAAAACGTGCTGAAACAGGGATTCTTCTGTTCTTGTGCTGTCCCCCACCCCCCGCCCCTTTGTGATTTCCCTTCTCTGTTATGTCCCTGCATCATCAGAATAACCCTGTGACCTCTGAAGCGAGTGGTCTGAACGCCCAGCGTTGGCAGGTGTCCCTTTTTCATGTGGCGGCGGCACAAAACCTCGCTGGTGCCGCTGACCTCAATCTCAGAGAGCTCTGTGTCTTTAAGCAGGTCCCCAAAGCTGTAAATTGTCCGCTGCCAGTCAGCACATAACTCCACTTACACTACAAGGCTGGTAGTTGAAGGTAAGCTTCATTTGCAGTTTGGAAACATCAGAAAAGTCAGGGAGAGCTTATCCAAACTTGTAAAATCATCCTCTTTATAGCTGTGTTTGATTTTTTTATACGTTTTTCTTTGTTTTAGGCCTGGTAATCACTTTCTACATGTATTGATCTAAAATAAAACAGGAAGTGTTCGGCCATAGGTGTTGTTTTCCCTGTACTTTTCATTTGTTGATTCAAATTTCATAATTAATGTGACAGTTTTCCTTAAAAAATACACACTTACAGAAAAACTGAAAGTGTGTGTAAGTGACTTCATCTGATGTTTTACACTTGTACACAATTACATTTTCTTTAGCACTGTACTTATTTACAATACTTCTAAATGCATTTGTGAACATTCACAACGTGCATCTGACAGCTTTAGGTGCTTTACATACTGAGACATAGAAAGCATAAATAGTTTAAATTGGTTTATTCAAGCGAGACTGAAATGATAAGCTAGTCAGTTTTTAAACTGCAAGAAAATCTTGAAGGTTAGTAAATCATTCAGACGATGAAATAATATTTGAGGTGTCTTTGTTTGAAAAAAACAGTTAAAAATTAGCTAAATCAATGCAGGTGTAAATCCAACCCACGGGTCACAGGGAGTGCGTTTACAGTAGTGATGACACAATATGCATTCTGCTTTAGTTACATTTTACATGGTCAGGGTAGTTGGAAGCTCAGAGCAATGGTGTCAGGGGTCATTGACATTACATGAATAATATGTTTACCACCACCAACAAATGACACATCTGCTCTATGTGAAAAAAAAAAAAAGATCAGGAAGTTGGAAAAAGTTTTCGCATAAAGAGTTGTTACATACACCCACAGGACGTTCTGTTAATGTTGGTGTGTTGTCGTGTTATGAATGTGAGATAAAGAGGTACCTTTGAACTCTTCACAAGTAGAAGGAATCAAATGACACCCATTGCAATAGCTTTAGGCCTACACCCAAGGTTTGAAAATGAGATCAGCGTTTGGTTGTTCATTTTTTTTTTAAATGACCAGGACTCTTTATCTTTACCCAGGTGTGAAAATAAAACCACAATGGTCTATTATTATTTCATTGTTGAGTAAGTATTTCCTCTGATCCGCATGCAACGGTTCATTTGAGTTGCCTTGCGCCTCATTTCTAACATAATGCACGTTTGACTGAGCTGTCCTTTGTTTCAGGCTTTGCATATTGTGTTTGTGTGTCTCTCTGTGGATGTTTTGTTGCCACCTTGCAAAAAAACGCAGAGAAGCAGAGGGCAGGCTGCACACCCCCAGCCCCTCTCCACCTTTATACATCATCCCCATATATGAGGAGGAGCTGGAGGATGTGGAAAACATGCAAGGAGCAAATGAACCTTCTTACAGGGGGCCACCTGTGTACTGCTCAAGATACTCCAGTCCACCTCCTCCATATATGGTACACCACTCAGCTAACAAAATCATGAATCCTAGTATTTATTTAATCAAGTCTTAATTTTTAAATGCTATAACCAGGATGAATAATTTCCTACCAAACTGCACAAAACTCCATTTGTGAATGTCTTCTCTCCTCTAGTTGGAAGCACCATCCTATCGCGATCCACCCCCATCATACACGGACCCTCCAGCTTACTCAGAGCAACCTTGATCTTGGTCTGCCTTTTCCACTCCACCTCTTTCCTGCCCTGGCATGACGCAGGCCCTACAACGTAGTTACACAATCAAATATGAGTAGATTGGATTTTGAGCCCATCAAATTAGATCGCAGATGCAGCACGTGCTTCACTCTGAATGACCTGAAAGAGGTCGAGATTTTAGATTATGCAGATATAAAGGGAGCTATTGTCTCAAGGTAACATTTTGGCATAAAACACAAACATTTTTGATGGATGTATGCTTTGTGTGTATTAGATGTGTGGTATATAGGTAAAGACAAATGATGTTGAGGCTGAACTATGCAGAAGGGCGTGATGATGGGGTTTGATTTACAACCATAAACAGTTTAGGACTAACTTCTTTTGTTGTGTACTTTTGTGTACTAAATGTTTTGTGACCTATATAGCATCATGATTTGTGTAGCCACTTAATAAAGTTTTTGTATGTTTCCACTGTGGAAGTCATATTTGAATTAACTAAAAAATTTTCTATGCATCTTTATTTATCCAATTAAAATAAAAAGGGAAATACATTTTAGATTTATTTCAAAACAAAAAATGTTTAATTTTAAAACAAAATTCATATTTTTTCCTTTCTGCAGATACGTGGCTAATTGTACAAAGAGATTATAAAACGCCTGGTTCTGTTTACACCCATCACTAAAACAATCAATAATTACATTAACAACAAACAGTGACTGAATCTTGAAAAGGTCTGGCATGATTTCCTAAACAACTGTATGCTATGAATTAAAACCAGAAATATACATGCTAAGGTATGATTGGCTGAAGTTTCTACGTCATAAAGTTAATTTCTGAATAATTTAGCTAGGAAAAAAAGCAAAAGTATTCAAGACAAAGACCACAAATGTCTGTTCCTGTGTCTTTAAGCATGACAGTGATGCTGTAAAATGTCCTCACACTGTGCTCGTCCCTTATTGACACATTATCCTTTAACAGCCACCTTCAAGTCAGGATAAGTCTGTTTGCTTTGGATGGAATGTCAGGTAAGGACAATCCCTCTGCTATATTATATCGAAATCAAGTTATCATACTATCACATCAGATTTGTGTTAAATATCTAAGGAGAAAATTATACAAATTCTCACTAACAGTCATAATATGGTTATTTTATAGGATGAAAGTCCAATGTATGGTCCAAAGCAAGGTGTAACAACTATATATGATATTTTGTGATTGATCAGAATAAGTTCTGATCAATATGCTGTCAACAAATCTCATATTTCTGGTTGTATACAATAGAATGTTTTAAATTTCGAGTGAGGTCATTCAATTCCGCCCTCACATAACAATTTCAATGGGCCTACATCAGCTGATATAAAGAAAGCTTGTAAGTAATTACATAATGTGGTGTGAGGTAACAGCAGTTGCAAGTCCAAACTTTATTAAAAGTGACTGGCTACAATATTGCATTTAAAGCATGAAGTTTAACAAACTCCTCTTCTCCCTCTGTCAATAAAATCCTTTTATTTCCCCACACAGTCATGTCCATGAGTTGGAAAATCTCCAGCCATGCCTGAACTAGTACATATCTTTCAATATTTGTAAGTTATCAAATCAAGAAGGAATTTCTATTTACTAGAAGTTCAATTCTGCATTAAACGCATTTAAATTTGTGTTTCTAGAGTGCCGGTACTGGTGATATCCATTGCTGTCATAATCCTCTGCTTCTATCATCATCTGAAAAAGAAAATCGAAGCCCTTGATGTCACCGCACCAACGCAAACACGTGCAATTTCTCTGCCTGACAGTCGGCCGGAAGTGGATAGGCACTATGACCGATTCCCTCCCCGCTACAGCACAGTGGAGCTCCCACCACCATACTCACTGGTGTGTTCTATATTTCCATGCTCAGCAGATGTCAATAGGTCACTTTGCACATTGATATGTCACAAAGTTTAATATCTGAAATGCATTACTTTTTCGTAATCACTGAAAGATGTTTTATAACACCATGTTAAAAGTCATCAGTCATCAAGCACATGTGATCAAAGTATGTCTGCTTTCTTTCAGATTCTGACAGGATTTATAGATTGTAACTGCCTGTTATACAAACACTATTGGGGGATTTGATGTTCTGAATGAACCTTTATTTGGATCCCAACTCTATTAATTCTATTACATATTGTATTTTATACTATTTGCATTATTATTATAGTTTTTTGAGATTCCAAATCGCTTTTAGCAATTTAGTGTTAAAATTCCAAACCACAGTTAAGTATTCATAATTGTAACAGATCTAGCCTGAAATGCTGTTTAAATAGGTAAAGCCAAATAAGATGATTTAGATTATCTGTATAATTTTCTTTGGCTTTACCTTCACTCGCATAAAGAATTCCAAATAACACCTGGGTAGAACAGTTTGAAACTTTGTCCAGAAACTTTTATTTGCAAGGTTAAGGGCTCCAGGCTGAACCTCTCTAATATGAATAATTTTATATACAGTGTGAGCTGTTATCCCACAGGCAAAGCAGAAATAAACTTGAGGTGTATTTTTCATGCAGTTTGACCCCAGGTTGACAAGCATTTGGCCGTGTGGTGCACCGCCTTCTTACGAGATGTATCCAATGACACTGGCTCTTACCTCTCATTACTGCACAGCATCCAGAGAGCCTCCACAGCCACAGCCACCATCCTCATCCACCAACCACAACCATCCAAACCCCCACGGGCCACACAGAGCGTCCATCGGCTAAACTGTCAATAAAAGAACCAAGAAGTTTTTCCTGTGTATTTTTAAAATATTGTTTTTATTGTTTGATATGATGTTGCGACTTTCAATTAAAAAAAATGTTGATTGATTGTAAAAAGTGAAACAATAGTTTGATCTGTTACAATTTGACTTTTTTTTTTTTTTTCATGAAGACCAAATAAGCCGGGCAACTGTTGAACAGCATCTACACACCGGCAGTTCATGTAGTGTTTCTCCATGTTAAACTAGACACTCTTAATTACAAGACAGTACTTACAGGTTCAAAGAAAGATTAAATAAATAATGTCACCAAGTTGTTTTTTTCTAAGAAGGAACATGGACAAAGAAAGAGAAATTTTACACGATGGAAAAAAGTGTTTCCTTGGCTTTTTAACCATATTAAGGCAAAAGTAAGCATAAAATCGAAGCCACTGGTAATTTGGTTTGCGGTTGGTACGTCAGTATATTGAAAAAGAATTCCATCAAATTTCTGACGTGTAATATTAACTTTTAGGATTTCCCTTCATTATAACGATGCATAATCTGGTCTAGGCTACTTGTTTAGGTATCTTCTGGTTTCATTGTTAGGGCTGAAATGTTCTTAGTGCTACAAATAAAACACCCAACAGAATAAAGCTGGTACTTGTGAGACACTATGATTCACTGGACTTGATTCTCCCCGTCAAATAAACCGAAACATGTCCAGCAAAGGACAGAAAACGCTCATAGTAATAAAAGCTAAAAAGAAAGGTAGAAGGAGCTGAGACAGTAGCATTAATGAGGAAATTTCACTACTCTATTTGTGTGTCTGAATATATCCTTGCGAGTGTGTGAACATCTTGGAGTGTATCAGTAAATGTATTGCATGTATATTCAATATGACCTATTGCTGTTTCATTTTCAAATCAGAGGTGACGCTCACAATCAAACAGATTTCCTGAACACATGCAATCATACCATGTGTTCAAATGGCAAACTATAGTATTCAATATAAACATGACATTTGGTATCTTTCCTCAACCCGCCCTACTGATCTAATGTAAACATTACACTACATAAAGTATTTAAGATTTGTAAAGGCTGAAAATGTCCTTCCCCAAAAACCTCCAAACCGAGCACTGTTACTTACGAAACAGATCCATTAATCTATATGATAACGCACACACACTCACTCACACTATTGCACTACACCTCATAAGCAGCTCTAAATCCTTCCCAACAAACATCAAAAGAATCTTTCTGAGCCCTGACAAAGAAGATGCAACTCAACATTGGGCTCAACAGAGGAACACTAAGTTTGTACAAAAAATGCTCTACATGAGGCTGGTCATTTGCTCTGATTTACAACGTTCAGCTCCGATGATAAATATTCCCCCGACCATGTGAGTCTGACTTATTGGTGGGGAGCTGTCAGGGACTCTCAAAACACCCAGCTGACGGGCACCCACTGGTGCTCCGTTAACAGTTTCTCCAGCGCCAAGCGTAGACTTCGGAACGTCGCCTCCAGGCCGTCATTTACAATGCAAATGTCAAAGTAATGTCCGTACGCCCTCTTAATGCGCTCGCTCTCATCAACCGTCCTCTTTAGTTCGGAGTCCTGTGAGGAGCAGAAAAGCAGGAATTTAGAATTCAAGGCAGAAAATTAAAAATGTAAGCAGATCAAATGAAGCAAATACTTGAACAGAGGAGCAGCAGAATGTAAACCAAACATACACACAACTGTTCTGGCAGTTGTTGGCAAAGCAGATTCCCAACTTTAGGACCAATGTGCCCACGCACTCACCGTCAGCTGTTTCGTGACCACTCCCGACTCGATTGCTGACCTATTCATTGCTTTGAGGACTTCAAAGTCTGGGGCTTCAATGAACACGACGTAGGGCAGGAATTCCGACGTCCGCAGGATTTTGAGAGCCTTTAGAATAAAAACACAGACCCGGTTAGGATAAATTCCTGAAAATGGATGAATAAAGAAACCCCAGACTCTTGCAAACTCTTCCTCTACCTGCGGGTTGACATCCAGGACGCAGATCTTTCCTGTTTCTATCACCTCATGAATGGAGTTTATCTTTGTGCCGTACAGGTTGCTGTCATACTCGCCATGCTCCAAGAAACGCCCGTTTTTGATATCGCACTCCATTTCGTTACGACTCATAAAAGAGTACATCTGGCCATCTCTCTCATCAACCTTGGGTTTTCTGGAAGTGACTGATTGAAGATACGCAGAAACACAAAAAACATTGATCTTTCCATCAAGATCAAGATCACACGTTGGGAGCCTGGTTTGATTAATTTTTACATTAGTTTATAGGAATATGGCAACATGCGAGGTCAAACTGAAAAAAATAGAAAAAGTTAATTTGAAATAAAGACATAGTGACCTGTTCAGTAAATGTATCACAGGCTGCTTAAAGAAGAAAAATGGGTTTGATGTCAGTGTTTGTTTGTGCCTACAGGGTATGGTGGTGCCATAGCGCTGGGTGTCTGACACCAGCAGCTTGTTCTTCAGGCTGCGGCGACCGACCCCCTGCGCTCCAATCAAAACCAGCGTCTTCCTTCTGAAGGGCGGGACTTTTGCAACCTCCTCGTAGATCCGCAGCTCATGCCGATCGAACTCTGGGGAAACAGCGGTTTAACACGTTCACGGTCTGGGCAGTGAGGGGCTTTTTGTTTGAATCTAAAACCTCAAAACATGACGTTTGTTTTACCTGCATTCTTTGTAGTCAAATACATCATCTTTTTTTTCTTCTTACCACCCATCCCTGCACACAGAGGACCTGAGAGAGAGAGCAACACACTAAACTCAACCAAACATCCAACCTTGGTGCAAATCTCTGCCAGGTGCTGGGAGAAATTTCCTGTGAAAATGAAAAACTATCAAAATGTGCGCTCTGTTAAGTCATGAATTCAAAGTCTTAAAGGACCACATGGAGATTCTACCACTAGATGGCACTGTGAATTGATGCTGATCAAGCTGTGCATCCGCTCCTCTGCCAGAGGACACCTGTGACTGTGCGTTCTGCTGACCGTCTGTTCAGTATAGGAGATAATTTTGTGGTCATGGAAACATGAATTCAGTCATATTATAACTGCGTAAGCTATTTAGTTTTGCTCTTTACACCTCAGAGTGCTAAGTGTTTAGATACAACAATAATCAAATCTATCCTTCCAAAAGCATTGAGTTCGAGAGTACTATTCTAAACAACCTCTCACTTTTTTTGAAAGGTGGAAATATAACCAAAAATATTTTGGGAGACAGATGTGTCCTCTCCCTAGCTCCAAGGGCAGTGCAGTTGGGCTGTCATCTTCCTCCTCACCACAACTGAAGGGCATGCGGCTCCCTATGACTCACCACCTGTTTGGATGCCGCTAAGGACCTCACAGATAAATCTGAACGCATAAAGCCTCTTTTCGCTCCAGGTCTCATATGAGACAACAACATTATTGATTAGGTTTTTGTTTGCGGGATTTCATCGCCCCTCCTGAATCGATGCTCGGATTCTCTGTTGAGGGCGGTCGGTGAGTGTCGCACCCTGCGGCTTTACAGCCAGCCGGTTGGATCAGGCAGCTAGAGTATCTGTGATGCTCATTACGAGCTCTTCAAACCCAAACAGGCGAGGTAAGAGGAAGAAGAGCGGCCTTTGCCAGATGAAATGCTTGCACGATACGGAGAGGGAACAGATGTCGTCTTTGTTGCTGAGCTTTCTCCATGCAGCGAGGAGCATGTGCTTAAATCTGCATAATGAGGGACGCTGAACGCCACCGTGGGGAGTACCTGTGGTAGCCAGCTCCAGATCTCTCTTCACAAATGCTTTTCTTTTTTCCTCAAGGAGCTGGCTCGGAATCAGGCCCGCACTGCCCCCTTCTATGTGACAGGCCTAAGAAACATAAGGAAACAGGCAGAGAGCCAGTGGACAAAAGTCTCCAGCAAGCTCAAATATGGCGCTGAATATGGCGAGCAGACTGACCTGCCACCAGTTGAGGTCCTCCTGGTTAAAGATCTGCAGAATGTCCCCACTGCTGAAGCTGAGGCCTGCCTCCTTGCAGGGAATCAGGTTGTCGTTGCTTGGATCATAATCAAAGTGGCACTTCACAAAAGCCTGAAAGAAATAAAGGTCATAGAGAGCATAAAAATAAAAGGGAACCATTTTTTTCAAAGTAAAGTTTTCTGTACGTCGATCAAATTTCATGCTTTTAAAGCCTCTGGTGTGTTGCGTGTGAACTCGAGTGTGTGCCCGTCAGCATGGAACAGCCTTTTGCACTTAGAGCCTGCTGCATCTCTCAGCTCACCTTCCAAACACCTCAAGGCTGCGGGATTCAGTTCCTAAACTAAGGCATCTATCCAAACCCCCACTGACAGGACACAGACTCTGAGAGGCAAGCCAGCAGAAACAAGGAGAAAGAGGGAGAAGGACGGACAGAGAGAGACTAAACCAGCAGCCATGGCAACCATCCCCTCCCCCTACACTTTGTCTCCTACTGAACTGATGCAAGAAAAAAAAAAAAAAAAAAGGCCCAGCAGCCCTGACTGTACCACGGGTCTCATTGGTCTGTGAGGACAGACAGACACACTCATTCACTCAGATACAAAATCAGTCCTTGAGCCAATGCGAGCTGTCAGTTGTGTTTAGCCACCATGCAATCTTCAGGATGGAGGGTAGCCTGGAGATACATACAGCCGGGATGCATTTAGAGATAACTTTTGAGAATAGCACTAATCAGTCACTGCACAGCTCTTAAATGTGTTCTTTAAAGTCCGTGACTCACAGCTTTTAATAATGTTGAAATCCTATTTCATAATGACAATATTAACAGGAAGTAAATCTTAACAAAAGCCAGTACCTTCTGAAATGCAGGAAAGAGCTATTACCGTAACCTCTGAAAATGGAAGGAATTTTCATATAAACTGTGTAGCGTCTTCCCTTTGGCTTTCCTTTGAGTCATAAAAAACGAATACTTTTTTTTCTTACGCAGTGGGAAAATCATACGACGCGAGACAGAATTTTTTATGTCATAAACTTTCGTTCGGACATTTGAACAAACAGCTCAATTATTGAGCCAAGCGAGAAAAGCCTGGAGAAACTGTAATGCAGGTTTAATCTCCAGACATCCAGCGTAATTCAAAAAGCAGCTCTGCAGAATAAGATAAATTATTCTTGGCTCAGCATGCAAGGTTACAGAAAATTTGAGTGGATGCCAGGAAAACAGCAAGCATTACTTACTGATGTCCTTTCTGAGCACATTCTAATTATAAATATCTGTCTGGGTGTATTGCTCTTCCATGTAGGCTCACCTGTCTTGCTGTGTGGGGCTCCTGGTAGCTTGGCAGGATCTTCAGCACCACGCTGCCGCTCGCCTCCTTCAGCATCTCTTGGAGCACTTTGGGGTCGTTCCCCACCTCCTTCCCATTCACCTCCTTGATGATGTCCCCCACATGGAGCAGACCTTGCTGATCAATCATGCCTCCATGAAGAATCCTGGCAATCACCAGTTCGCCACTCTCCACTCTAAAAGTCACTCCCTATGACATATACATATATGTGTGAAATAGGATAAGCAAGAGTATGTTTCAATCCACACAGACTGTGCATTCTTATTTATGCACTGCTGTCTTTAAGTAATTTTTTGCAGTTCATTTTATATTTTTGGTTGGGGATGGTAATTTGTGGGGGTATTAGTGGCAGTCTGCAGCTTCCCCCTGGAAGTCACATTGGACAGACTAAATACATTTTTAGCTAATATTTTCCACCATGCTTTTGGTCATGCAATAAAAAAAGGACAAGTCAGCCTCTTACTTCCTCATCTGTCCTAAAATTTCAAGCACCTGAGCTAAATGTGTTACCTCAGACATTTTGAAAGAGTTTTATGGTTAGAAAAGGGGGGGGGGGGGGGGCAGCACCTTGCAAACTTCCACTGAATTTTTAACATTAATCTCCAGAAAGTCTGCCCAGTGCAGATAAATCAAGCCTACAAGGAAATGTAAATCTGTCTTTTTCTCTTGTTAACATTGTTCCAGAGGATCTCATTACACTGAGTGCATGAGCTGCACACTAAGCATACTGTATGTCATGTCACTCACAGTTTACAGTTTACACCAGGCCCCAGACTGGCCATGACGATTAAAGCGGGCTTACCAGGTGTTCACCAGACACCTTACGGATTCCAACCATCCTGACGGCATCCGGCGGAACTGGCTGATTGTTGAGGGCTGCGTCCATGAACGAGCAGGGGCTGGGGGGAGGGGTCTCGTAGTTTTTGGATGCAACAGAATCATGCGTCTCCAGAAGGGACTGTAAACAGAGGTGGGAAAACAATAACGGCTCATTTTCTGCTCTGCGAGGAGCCTTTTAGTTGAAGCAAGAGCAGTGCCCCTCCAAACCTGAAAGTGAGGCTCCTTCAGGATGCGTGCGAGCTCGTCGGCTGCCTGGCTTCTCTGCGCCAGGGGGCTGAGCTCCTTCAGGATATCCTGGACCAGCTCCATGTTGTTCTCACTAACAGCCTCCAGCTTGGGTTCTTCGAACCGTTCATGAGCCTTGGATTTAATAGTTAGAACCCAGATGTTATTTGGTGTTCAGTCTCTCATCCTACGCATTTGACTTAATGGAAGACTTGGCTCACATGTCGTGCTTTCAGCAGACTGTGTGAAAACATTGTACCCCTTAGTTTATAACCTTGCCTCCTCAATGAGCAGTTAATGCTGCATGCTGAGCTATAATGAAGTGCATTCTATCTTCTGAGCAGGTGTTTACTTGTAGTCACTGAGGTGGTATAAAACAAACCAAAAACTGTTATCTGAAAGCAAGACAGCATTCATGAAATATTATTTTCTGTGTGCGAAAAAAAGAGAGAAGTGAGCACAAAACTTACTAAATCCTGTTGGTTTTACAGCATGTGATATGAGACATCAATATTTCAGGGAACATTAAATTTTCATTTTCTCCTCGGCTAACGCCGGGCGCAAAGGTAGATGTGGCTGGACCTTTACCCCAGGGTCAAAGACACAAGGGAGACAGCTTTATCTTTTTTTCCTTTTTTTTAAGGCTGGAATTCAGTTTGTGACTGCGCAGATTTAATAGAGTGGCTTGATAAACTAAAACTGAATAATGTCCTGACAAAACTACCTAAGTATTTACAAAATGGAACACTGCTAAAAATCAAATTTGGAAGAATTACTTTTTTTTGCTTAGCATCCAGGGGGGACACCTCAAAATTTTTTTTTATAGTAAATGGTATATTATGAGAGTGTTTAAAAAACTAAAAGGAAAGTAGTAAAGCAGATTTCCCCTTTTAATCATCATGTTTAATAAGAATTAAAGATGAATCCAGGTGTCTGTTTCATTCCAAAAATTATTCATGCATCATGATAAAAACATCTTTTTTCAAAAAACACCTTTTGAATCCATAATTCTGACGATTTTGGTCAAGTGAGTTGTTGCATATTTGGAGGAAAACGGCTGCATATGCAGAATTTGATGAAAAGTATTGACTATACCACTGATAAACACAGAGGTGGATCAGTCAAGCTTTGGGCCTACCTTACTTCTACCAGTGTAACGTTTGATATTTCATTAGGAGATGGTAGAATGTATCAAATTAATCAACGGCTGATTATGAAAGCAAACATTCAACATCATCATTTATGTTCCACCTTCATAACAGAACAATTATCTTATACACACCCCTATATTCAAAATACATACATTATGAACAAACATGTCAGATTTTTCTGACACCTTTGTATTACATTACTTTGCAAATTCCTCCTTCTGCCACTACAGATTCTTACACGGAAGCCTGGTGAATCATGCTTTACAGCCAAAGCCTGTCAGTGCTTGCAGAACTTAACTGCATAAGACACGAGCTGTAAAACTGTTCCTCATAATCAAATGCAAATGCTAGAGTTTATGATAACACTGCTGGTGACTGCACATCTAGAAATGAAAGATTCTCAGTCAGGAATTGTCTGCTGAGACTAACCACTATTTTGGCAGAGACAGTGTTTGTTTGCTGAGGAATAGGGAAAGACTCCCTGCCAGGAAACAAGTTACAATGTGCATACACACACACGGACATGAGCATAAATAAATATCCTGACAAATGCCTGCATTAACAGTCCAAAACAAACCATCCTATATTATAAGTGAATAGAACTGCATATATTGGGATGATTTAATAGCTCAAATACATCTGAAACATAATCTACACCCACATGGAATCAAACACATGTATCCTGCTGTACTATCCTGGTACAGCATTGGACGCAGGCACTACTCGCTTTCCTCGTCTCTGAGGAGACCTTTCAGGAATGACGGCTAATTAGCTCTGCCACTCTGAGGGAAAAGAAATCTAACAGTGCTACAATTATATTTAGTATCTCCATAGGTCGGGACTCAGACTGTTGTAAACTATCCATCTATGCTTTAAAGATAGGTCAGTACAACTTAGAAGTTGACCTATGATGGGTGTAGACTAAAAAGATCATTAAAATGTCTAGAAAATGCAGCAGATTCCTTAAAACTAACTATTGTACCTTTGTACCTTTATATTATAAAATATTATAAAATATATATTATAAAAATTCCTGCCTTGCATTGTGGCACTTGTTGAACAACATCAAGCTAAAATCTCTCCATCTATGCCTCTGTGCATTAGCTGTTTTGCTATAATCGGCCCAAAAAAAAGAGAAAAAGTTGGCACTTTCATAAGTGCCAACTTGCAAACCGCACATGCCTTGCTTTGCATAAGCCATTTGAAATCATTCCAATATTCCACTTAACCAGGTCTACTAATTAATCGTGTTAATGTGCCCCACATAGTGAACACAAGCATGACTTTTTCACTTTCAACAAAACATCGATAACTCTCTCTTGACAACTTGGTGCATATCAAATGAAGTGTTTCGCATGCTTTTATTTTCAATAGAACCTTTGGAGAGCCGTCTCCTGCCTGAAAGTGGTGACTCTTTACCTGCAGT